TATAAAATTTAATGGCAAAGTGCCCATTTGTTTTACTGAAACTCAACTGTGCTGTCGGGAAGACTTTTCTGACTACTTGGCTTACGTGCATTGTGACGTGAAAATATGTTAATATCATGTGACTGTGAGCTCCCACACGTTGTGGTAACAATATGGAAATCAAGATAATTAGGCAATTTATAGTGTTTGGCGTTCATTGCACTTGACTCTGAATCAAGTATCTCTCAAATGCATTGTTAAGTTTTCTGCTCTCTTTTCCACTACTTGTATTTCTTTTGTAGCACAGTCAGTAGATCAATATTACAGTACTTCAGAATTGCTCATACACTTTTTCACCACTAAGTTGACTAATCTTATATACCATATTTCTTTTTAAATATCCAACACATACAAAGAATAGCTTCATTAGAGAAACACATTCTTTATGTTTGTAATTATCACAGAACCTTGGTAGCAATTACATTCACTCACAAGGGAATCTTGGAAATGTCTTTAGTTCTAGGTTACTACTACACAGGAAAGTTATGAATGAAGAAAGCATAGGCAACTTCTCAGTTAAGTACCCCAAAAGCCCCATTCCTCAACTCCCAGAAGTTCCTTCATTCAGCCTCCAAGCCTTCCTGTCTGAGCTGGTTTGTGTTATCAGGCTCTTTCCCACACAGGACTCCATATGTTTTCATTCTATTTTCATTCCTCGACCTTGGCTGTGAACTCATGGCATGGAGCTTTTCTGATATCTTGAATTATAATGTTCCTGTTATGTGATTGCATTTTTTTTAAAGGAGTCTTTTTCCTGAAGGAAGCAAAATGCTTTAAACATATTGACTTGGGTCCCAATTAACAATATTTCAGCGGGAATACTATACTTCCCTCAATGAAGTTCAAGGAACAGAATGGGAGATGCAGTTTTCAGCAATTCTCCCTGCAGCCCTGAGGAACAGTTCCAGAAAACTGAAGGGGCATGTTCAGTAGTGTAAGGAAGTGGTTCCCAAACTCTAGGGTTCTGCAGCAGCATCATAGAGGTTCCAAGAAAAAATCTTAAAAATCCAATTTAAAACTGATTTTAAAATAAAACCACATGAGGCCAACTATTTGATTTATAGTCTAATAGCTATCTTGTATTACAACTATTTCTATCAGATATGTAGTTACTGTTTTTGCATTTTATGTGCCATCTGAACAAGAGTGATTTACACATAGTTGATTTTTCATTTTGAGTCCACATTTCTTCAAATTTTTTATTGTACAGTTTTTGACATGAAAGACATTTGGGATATTGGACCGGGCTGTGGCGCAGCTAGTTAGTAGCCAGCTGCATTAAATCACTACTGACCGAGAAGTCATGAGTTTGAAGCCAGCCGAGTCAGTCTATGTATTTATTTATTATTTGAACTTATATGCCGCCACTCCCCTGGGGCTCGGAGCGGCTTCCAAGAATGGCTAAAATCTAACACAATTTAAAAACAAGTAAGCTCCCATCCATTAATAGTCTAGCTTGCTGTTGACCTATGCAGCTGGAAAGACAATTGAATCTGTCAAGTAGGAAATTTAGGTACCGCAGAATGCGTAAGAATGGGGAAGTACTGCATCAAAGATTCGGTGTCACAAGTGGACAATGAAGCGACAGCTCTCCCTTTGGCAAGAGTCGAGCATACCCTCATAAAGCCAGAAAGCTGGAATGTTAAATTGCCTCTGTGTCTGTCTATATATGTTGTATGTGTATGGAATTGTATGTTTGCCATGTATATGTGCGTTGTAATCCACCCTGAGTCCCCTGCAGGGTGAGGACAGAATATAAATACTGTAAATAAATAAATAAATAAATAAATAATACTGGGGTATTGTTAATAAAATATCAAGAGTAATATTTACTCAAACCTTTACATTGTACAGACAATTTAAAAAAATAGGGATAGAGTTAGGGTTCCATGGAAAATAAAGATCCTCTGAAGTGTTCCTTGACTGAAATAGTTTGGGAACTGCTGGTGTTTAGGGGTTGACATAGGGAAGGGGATGGAAATTACAATTTAATAAATGATTTGATCATTCACTCTTCCATTTAGAGTGTTAAGATATAAGTTGCTGTGTTTTCCTCCATAAATATATTTTGAAGCTTTTTTTTTCCTAGGGAAGACCTCATGAGCATTTGTAAAGCCATCTAGCCTGGGGTTGTCACCTTATCTTCTAGCAGTCAGCGACACAATTTAAAAGTCATTTAGAAAGTGGTAATGAGAAATCATGCTTTCTCACTGACTGAAATCTTGTTGATGCCTTATGCCTAAGTAAAGTGGGATTAAACCTGTGTGTATTATTTTATAGAGGAAGTGGAAATAATAGGGCTCGGATGCTAAATGCAACTATTCATTGACTTGTAGGTGCAAAAAAGAACTATAACAGTCATCAGTGCACTCTCAAAATTGTGACAGGAAGAGACATAACTTCACTCCCTGGCACCCTTTTGAGACATACTGAAGAGGGAAATTGAGGTATTTTACCTGTAGACTTTCTCAGAATAATGACCTCTTCCTATAGTCATTTCGGGAATGGCAAAATACATTAAGGTGCCTTCTTCAACGCTTGGTGAACCTGTAGACTGGTACAACCTTTTGGGGAAAAGGTAATCAAGGATGTATCCAGCGTATCTGATGTATTCCTTTTATTTGCATTTACATCTGTATACCACCTTTACACAAAACAAATATTTTTTTAAAAAAAAGAGAAAATAGTGATAGAAGATAATGTGGATACTTAGGTTAGTAAGGTTGTCCAAAGTACTCTGGAAGTTAGAATATTTTTTGTATTATTTCAGAGTAAAAAGTATCGAAAATTCTTTCCATTTGTGAGTGGGAGACTTTGTGGGACAAGTGAAGGGCTTCAGGGGCTACAAAAATGGGCCCCAGATACTTCTCTTTGCTGACCAGGTAGAACAAACGATTGTTCCCAAAAGATCCAAATAATGAAAGGGAAATATAAGACAAGAGTATGTGTGCAATGTGTCCAGCAGGGAAACAAATTAATGAGGAGAAAATAAAAAAGACGATTGAACCATTAAGGCACACTGAAGAGCTACAGAAGTGCAAATTGAGTTTTCTTTTCCTGAAATGCTTAGGACCAGAAGTTTTTTGGATTTTGGGCTTTTCAGATTTTGGGATACATATATTTGCATGTACATAATGAATGATGGATGGGGAAAGGAGCTTAGCCACTTATCTAGTATCTGAATCTAAAAAAATAGATAGGGTTCTCAAATAAAAACATCTGACTTATATATGACTCCTAATTACAAATGGGGGTGAAACAGCAGGAAGTAAGAGGAGCTGTTTCTCTAGGAAGGGAAATCCATTCCTGAGAATTCTCATGGGAAAAAGGTGTTTCCACTGAAGCAATATCACCAGTCCTTGTTTCCACAACATCCCAAACTTTTCAAAATGCAATTTTCAGAGGGACAGAAAGTGAGGTGAAATCTTCTGAATGAGGAGCATAAACAGCAAAACAAACACCACAGGATGTTAACCTTCCCCTATGCTATCCAAAACAAGCAACGAGTGAAATTGCATCTCTTCCTGTCACGATTTTCAGAGTGCACGGATGAGTTATAGTTCTTTTTTGTACCTACAAGTCAATGAATAGTTGCAGTTAGCATCCCAACCCAAAACAAACACCACAGCCATTTTGCTATCCAAAACAAACAAGGAAAATTGGTTGGAGTTAAACTTAAAAAGTGTACCTGTTCCGGCTTATTTATTTATTTACTATATTTATACCCCGCTCTTCTCGCCCTGAAGGGGACTCAGGGGGCTTACAAACTACAGCAAAAATTCAATGCCACACCGTGCACATAACAATGAACATACCGTATAAAATTCTAAAACAATTAAAACAGTAATACAGATTAAAAGCCTATAAAGTGCTGCATCATGATTTCCAAACTTCATAGTTTCCCCATAGATGTTATACAGACTCCTAGGTTAGAATGATATAGTAACTAGGGTTTTTTGGCAGTTCTCAGAGAAATGAATTGGCAAACCACCTCTGAAGATTCCCTGCCTAAGAATACCCAATAAATGAAGTTGCCATAAACTGATAGTCAATTGGAATGCACGTACACTCATAAAGTGTGAAGATTTTCTGTAACAAGCACAATTTATTTCAAGTTTATTTGTGCTTTTTGCTAAGAAGGTGCAGTTTATGAAGTACAGTATCTGAAAAATGATTGACACAAAGTTGTATTTCTGAAAATACTCATGTAACTTTTCAGTAATTGGCACTTTGTAATCACACCCAAGATTTACAATGATATATTAATTGTTTATTATTTATAACTAAAACTTGTCTTTGAGACAAAGTATAATCCACAAAGCAGGAGAAGCAACAAGATGATTCTTTTTCTTTTTTGGTTATTTTGCTACTAGAATTCTAAGTAAATTTGATTAGTCATCCACTTACAGCAACTTTTGCTCTGCAATTAATTATACTCTTTCTAACAGCAGCATCTCAAGATGTACATCTAATTCATTCACTGTTTTATGGAGTGTTTTATGCAGTGTTTTCCTCCCACCTTCTCTATGTAAATATGTGATGGAAGTCATTTGAATACTCTTTTGGTGGACTGTGTAATTTAACAAAGCATCATTACATTTATAGGGTAATCCGTAGTATTTTACTCATGCACAATCATTTGGTCTAACAACAACAACAACAAATTTATTGCCTGTGTGAACTAGCTCAGAGGTGCTGTAGGGAGAATTCTAGCTCCTACCCAGAAGATTTACAAGAGCTGTAAATCAGAAAAATAAGTATGGGGAAAAAATAAATTTTACTCATGACATTTTCCAGAGCAATTTCCTGCTTGAGACATTCCCCTGACATTTCTGGGTGTTTAACAGCTACACAAGTTAAAGAAATAAATAGTAAGTTCTGTGTTTTTAAACAATGTTGTTCAGTAGATGCTGTCTTAATACTTTTAATAGGCTTGCTGCTAAAATATCTTTTTATTGCAGGTAAAGAAGCTGGGCATAGTTGCTGTTAGTAAGTATGCAGTCATACATCAGTTCAAATGGTGTGGGATTTTGCTTGTTTTTTCTGTATAAATTCTAAGATGCAACTAATACAGTTTATGAAATGCTGTCACAAAGTGACTTATTTAAACAAATGTACAATAGAAATAGATTATCAGTTTGCTGTACTCTATAGAAATAAATATGAGCACTGTAATTAAAAGCATGGATTTTAATATTGGATAAAAAGAACTCAATTTTCAATTAATTAATCTCCTTATTGGGAGTTTCTGGATTTTAAAACAGTCAGCACCGTATCTGTGGATAACCGTCATTTGTCATTTACCACACATAGTTCTTAGATTCTTTGAAATCTAGAAATTGTTAGATAGTACTGTGGTTCATTTTTATAAATCTCCCTTCAAGGTTCTGTTATTGAATTTGGTGGCACTTTATACAAACTTTATTTCCATGCTTCTTGCAGAATCTCTCCACCTAAGTCTGTTTTCCTTTGCTAAGATGTGACCATTTTATAGTCCATAAACTGGAGTCTAGGAAAACAAGATTTTTTCTAAGTGATACTTTTTTACAGTGTTTTGCAAATAAAATGAACATTTTGTATAATAAATCAAAGAGGAAGAATATAAATACGATAATAATAGCAACATTGTGCACTTTTTATTAGCCTGCACAGTGTGATGCATTTCTAAAGATGACATGTTCCACCACGGATGATTAGGATTTGATATTTCAAAGGAAAATTCAGTTTTCACCCACCACATTAGAGTCTAGCCTGGTTTAAATTTAAAGTTCTTGTTCTGATTTTTAAAGTGCTTAATAAGACATGTCAGTTAGATTTTTCGGGTGTAAGTTAGGTTCCAAAGAATGACTGTGTGGATGCAACTTTAGAGGTATGTAGTTGTGCAAGCAGAAGGTACTTATTTTTGTTTATTTTCCCTTTATCTTTTAGGCAATGCTTTGCCAGAGAATATTACATGTTTGGCAGCGGACAGAATGTTGGTCTTTGCATCCTGTGGTAGCCTCCTCCATGCTTTTGCTCGCAACAAAGAGGTTTGTGCTCTTATTAAACAATGTGGAATGATTTGGATCATATCCTAAAACCTTTTGTGGTTAACAAAATTATGTAAGTGGTACCCAAGCTTTGGTTTAGATAACCTTAATAGTACACCATCCAACAAAATCCCACCTTAAATGTATATACTATTTTTTTCTTCAATTTCAAGATGCCATTAATTGTAAGATGTAGCCAAATTTCAATACCACCAACAACAAAAATATACACCTGTGATTCTAAAACACATCCCATTTTAGAGATGTTTATATAAGAAAAAAAGCGTCTTAGAATTGAAGAAATAAAGCAAGGAAACTTCTTAGATGCTATTTATTAACTTACAGAAAATATAATAATAATTTTATTTCTTACCCACCTCTTCTCGTGGCGGGTTATAACATAGCTAGAAACACATAGCCATCATAAATATTCCACAAAATAAACATATTAAAACCTATTTCTACAAAATAAAATATTAAAATACACAGGACAAAGATTAAAACACAAGACATGTGTTTGAAATTCATGATTAAAAGTATATAATCAGTATTGTTCTATCTGAATAGGTTTCTGCTAAATCCTCCAATGGCTGAGTGATGGGCAGGTGGGGAGGCAGTATAGGCCAATTTTTCAGCCATATATCCTCCCACCCCATCCCAAAGGAAACTACAAAGGAAACAGGGGTTAGTTCTGGTTTCTGTTTTGGGGGAGTTTGGTTTTTTTTTTTAGAGTAATTCTACATGTTTGATACTATACATCATGTCTGAAGTTAAGAGTGGCTATTGCTTACTGTTGGACTTCCCTCTCCAATTTTTGGACAGGTGCAGAAGTGAGTCTATAAAAAGTCTTGAGAGGCACATGCAGTCCCAGTTTGTTCATTCCAAGAATAATATATATTAAAAGAATATGATATCACTATATTTATTAATTGAAAATTGTTGTTTTGCTGTATGTTTTCTTTGTGGTGCTAGAATATTGCAAAAACTTACATTTTTTCAAATAGGTTTAACTGTAAAAGGTAAAGGTAAAGGTTTCCCCTTGACATGGAGTCTAGTCGAGTCCGTCTCTGGGTGTGTGTTGGGGGGTGCTAACCTCCATTTTTTCGCTGAAGAGCTAGCGTTATCCGTAGATGCCTCCAAGGTCATGTGGCCGGCATGACTGCATGGAGCGCCATTACCTTTCCACCAAAGCAGTACCTATTGATCTTCTCACATTTGCATATTTTTGAATGGCTAGAAACTGGGTCTAACAATGGGAGCTCACCCGTCCCACAGATTTGAACTGCCAACCTTCCAGGCAGCAAGTTTTTCAACTTAGCAATTTAAACCACTGTGTTTAACTGTAATTATTCCTAAAATGATTGGAAAAGCTTGATCCATAGCTTTTAAAATTATGCATCTGGAAGAGTAGCCTTGTTTTACTGGTTGCCTTTATATTACAGTTGTTCTCACTCTCCATGAGGAGTTATTGGGGAGTCAGGAGGTTTCTGGCCAAGGCATACAATTCAAAAGTAGTTTTCTGACAAAGGAGATCCTTTTTCGATGCTTTACTTCTACCACTTATTCCAATAGCTGCTGGTATGCACACCAGACTTAAAATTTGCTCTATAGTTGAGGGGCCATCCAGTTTCCTTTTTGGACAGTGCTGCAACCAGAGAAACAAAATAAGATGAAGAAACATGCATCCTCCAAAACCACGGGACTAAAAGATGCAATATAACTGGTAAATTCCCTTCTCTCCAGAGTTTTAGTGGATTTTTTATTGTGGAGAACAAGGCAGTTTTACAACCCTCTAAATCGCTTTGAGTTTGTCAAAAAGTAATGAGGTATATTTCTGCCCTACAGGGCTCAGAACAGGTCAAGAAATTCCCCAGTCTCATATATATATCTCTGATCAGTACTCAACCCTAAGAAAGAAGAGCATGGTGGTTTGACCCTGCATTTGTACTGGGTCCCAGATGTGCTAGGAAAGTCAAGAGCTTGCTCCCTCCCCTCAATAGAAGGATCACCCCTGAATTTATGTTCAATTTTAAAAAATTGGATACAATTAGAATGCTATATAGGTAATATTATGATTCTTGAATCCAGTACAGATGTCTTAACACTAATTATTGCCTGAATGTGACATTATTAATCTGATGAAAGTATTTTGATTTGTAGGTTGTTCATACTTACAAAGGACACAAGGCAGATGTTCATCTTGTAATGCCATTTGGAGATCATGTAATCTCTGTTGATCGTGATAATGTTCTTATCATTTGGGATGTGCAGTCAGAAGGTGAGTCTTGACACTTTGACACTGAAAGACTAGTAAAAGCATGAAATATTTATAGTGGGCATCAACTTTTGTCTTATTTTAATTTATTTTTTCTTTTGCAGAAGAGTATATGCAGCTGAATTTTGATAAGACTGTGTTTGGAGTTTCTGCAGTTATGCACCCGAGTACATATTTGAATAAAATTCTTCTTGGTAGTGAACAAGGAAGTCTACAGTTGTGGAATATAAAATCCAAGTAAGAATGTACCTTACCCCATTATATTAAATTACAAACTTATTAACCTGGTTACTTATTCTCATTGTTTTAAATTGTGGAATTGAATGACTGAAGGATGTTGATAAACATAGGGCAAACAAGTTAATGAATGTTGCTTGATGTGGACAGCATCTGTTTTAAACTTGTCATTGTAAGGATATTGTTAGGCACAATTCAAAGGGCTGGCTTTGGCCTATAAAGCCCTAAATGGTTCTGGTCCAACTTAACTGTCTGAAAGCATCTCCCTTTATGAGCCAACAAGAGCTTTAAGATCGGTTAGGGAGGCCCTGCTCTCGGTCCTGCCCTTTTTGCGCGTGCACTTGGTGGGGACAAGAGACAGGGGCTTCTCAGTGGTGGCCCCTTGGTGTGGAACTCCCTTCCTAGTGACATCAGGCAGGCTCCATCCCTCCTGGTCATTAGTAAAAAGCTTAAGACCTGGCTACGTACGCAGGCATTTGGCAAATAGATTATTACAGAATTCGACTCAACAGCCTGAATAATGACTTTGGATTTTGGAAGATGACTATGGATAAGTATGAGATCAAGACTCAGCATTTTATATGGTTTTAATCTGTTTTATTGTTTATGTGTTTTGATAGCTCATATGTTTTAACTGTTTTTATAATTTAATGGGATGTGTTTTATTGTTATGTTCATGTGACATTTAATTTTACCAAAGTTTGTAAGTCACCTTGAGTCCCTGGCAGGGTGAGGAAGGCAGGGTAGAAATGAAGTTAATCAATAAATTAGCAGTTGGAGCATATTTAGCACCACGACAACCCTGTCCACAAAGATGGGAACCTTTCTGGAGCAGAGGTTTGGAGCCAGAGAAGGCTACAGGAAAGTGAGATTGGAAATCCAAATGCTTCTGTGAGCTTCCCATTAGATTTAAACCAAACTATATGTCTGAATTTCTTTAGCAGGCTAACTTAACGTTAGTTCGCTAGCAGGCAGTATAATGCAAACGTCTGTATAACAGCCAGCATATTCTTTGAACTACATTGGAAGAAATAGTGTACCTCTGGTCAATTATTGTGAGCCTAATAAATAGCTTATGAACTGAAGACTGACTCTTCTTTCATAATTCATAGATTCCTTGATAAATGGAAAATTGAAGGTTCTACACAAAAACAAATCTGAAAGATCGATAAAGCTGGACTGGATAATGTTATGTAATGTGACTAAAGTCTCAAATCTCAACACTATCCTCCTCCATTGCTGAACAGCTTAATCATTCTTCAGTGGAAGCTGCATCAGTATCTGTTTGCAAGCTTACGTCTTTATGCGTTAGCTAGGCCAAGCCTTGATACTTCTTTCAAGTGTGCCCTAACATGCTAGGAAATTGCTCCTGATTGGGTACTCTCCAAGTATGTTGCAATGGCCATGTGACCTGTGGATAACGAAAATTGTGGTACAACAAAGCTGGAGATCATCAGGTTGAGGAATACAAAGTGTGAAGACAGAAGCTATTCTTCCAAGTAAAGTATTGGTTTACTTGGAAGAATGCAGTTCTCCTGCTTAAACAGTGGAATCACCTGAGGGAATCTATATCAGGAGGAGACCAACCACTCTAGTAAATGTGAAGATGGTGACATGTTCAGGGTGGATTTTGTGACAAAATGAAAATCATGCATAGTTCACATCAATCATCTCACACTGCCTTGCCAGAGAAAGAAAATATGCCACACAGATGGTCAATAAAGAACAAGTAGTTTACTCTTCGTAATTCAGAACAACGTATTTACAATCATGAAATCAGTTGCATCAACTCACATAATGCCCTTTTATGAGAGATTTAAAATTGTCTTTCTTTGTCCATGTGGTTAACCCCCTTTCAACAGCTCATGAAGCAAGAGCACACTCCAAACTCTGTCTGCTTCACTCTGCTTCTCTGCAAGCACCTGCATAGCTCAAACCTGAAAACCATAACAGTAACTAAAAGTCCCAGGATCAGCCATCTGCCTGGGCGTTGCCCAGCCAATCAGCTTCATGCATTTTATTTTACAGTTGACACACACACATTAAGTGATTTCTTTCATGCTCCAATAGATTTCAATATCCATCATCTGAACACTGTCCTCACAACAGCAAAAATTAGAGGTCTTAACCAAATGCAAAATTTTGCGTAACACTCGCTTTAGTGTCATTTGTTCCATACCATTAAACTTCGTGATTTTCTTCCTTCTTCTCCAGCAAACTCTTGTATACTTTTCCAGGGTGGGGTGAAGGAGTAACAGTCCTTCAACAGGTAAATATGACTTGTTGGTTTAATAAACTGAAAATACATTCAGCCCTCCACATTTGCTGATTTAACTTTCATGGATTTGATTACTCACATATTTGCTTAATGAATCTCTAGGTCCTCCAGCAGACCTCTGTGGTCAAGGTTCAGCCAACTTTGACCACAAAATCACACTGGCAGACCTAGAGAAGTATTTTTTCAAGTAAAAAAAAGAAAACACAGCTATTTTATTTGAGTGTTTCCCACTTTCGCTGGGATCCTGTGTCCTAGCTCCAGCAAATATGGAGGGCCTCATGATGAGTTATTTCTTTATTTATCATATCAGAAGTTAATTGAGAGTACTGTTATAATGTATAAAAAACCACAAAAAAAGTTAAAAACTTGGCATTATACTAAATTTCCTTTAACCAGAAGTTGGCCTCTCGTGTCACTATTAGAAAGTCCTCCATTGTGCATGTGGCAGGGCTCAGACCGCATTGTAGTAAGTGGTCTGTGGTTTGCTCTTGTCTGCACTTGCATATCTTGGACACCACTTTGTAGCCCCATTTCTTAAGATCTTGTGGTTCCAAAGCGCAATCTGTTCAGTGCCTTCCACGTCGTCCAATCTTTTGTGTGCTCAGCAGGGAGTTTCTCAACTAGTATCATGCATGGATTGAGGTTTTGGGTTTTAACCTGCCACTTTTGGACTTTCGCTCGCTGAGATGTTTTTTTCAAGAATCTCTGTAGATCTTAGGAAGCTATTTCTTGATTTAAGGCACTATCTTGCTGGCTGATATCTGAACAGGGGATGAGCCGGAGATGTCAATGGCTTGTTCCTTTCATTACTGGCTGCTACTTCTCGAGGAATGTCAGGTGGTGCAGTACTGGCTGAAAAGTGTAATTTCTCCAGTGGTGTGGGGCATAGACATCTTGTGATAATGCAGTATGTGTCATTATAAGTAGCATCCACTGTTTTAATGTGGTGAGATGTATTGCACATGGGCATGCATATTCAAAAGCTGAGTAGTAAACGCAAGGGCAGATGTTGTGACTAGCTTCAATAGCAAGATTAATATATGTGCGCACTCTGGGCCTTTTGAAAACATCTTAGCACTAATTCTTAAAGCTGAATCAAAACATTATAGAGGTACTTTGGTTAGCTGCTTGTTGAGTTTGGGAATTGGATTGACATTTTGAATGAGATAACACTCTTTCTAAAGGAGCAGGTGCATAGTTTCAGAGCACCTATTAATTCCCAGCTATAATTGGAGGCCCAAGTGGCCTCAGTGGTTAGGAGTACTTAACTCCATTTGATGCATCAATTATAAGCATTGCTGAATTAAACTAGCCTGAGTAATCAATGCTTTGATAACCTCTTGATTAGACCAGTGCAGTGCACACTGTTGGGTGCTGCCCTGCCACTGGTGCAAAATGTCACAGCTGTGTTGTTGTCTTTAGAAGGGAGGAGGGAGCACATAATTCTCATGTTTAAGAACTCTAAAATGGTAGCCAAAGTGCCACTGGACCCAAGCCAGCATTTTAATAATGGATTTATAAAGCTATATGAAACTTGGATCTCCTGAATTTACAGGAAAATTTCTGCTGATGTAAACAGAGAGATAATAAAGTGAGGTTGCATTCCTAAACATGTTTATGTTGAAAAAGTTACGTTACAATATAACATGCTTGTTTTAAAAATCAATTAATGTAATTATGTTGTAGCTGAGATTCTTAAATCATTGCTCATAAACGTATTCTCATGCTGAAGTAACACGTGTCTTTTAGTTTAACCTTTTAGCAGAACTAACCTGAGCACAACTCAGTTTTTTAAACATCTAGAAACCAAAACTTAACATGCTTAATGTCTAGATTTTTTAAAAAAACATAGTTGGGCAAGATCTTTAGTATGTTCACTCCAAATGTTATAGGAATAGTCAAATTAGGTTCTTGTGGGTTTTTTCGGGCTATAGAGCCATGTTCTAGAGGCATTTCTCCTGACGTTTCGCCTGCATCTATGGCAAGCATCCTCAGAGGTAGTGAGGTCTGTTGGAATTAGGACAATGGGTTTATATATCTGTGGAATGGCTGAGGTGGGGCAAGCCATTCCACAGATATATAAACCCATTGTCCTAATTCCAACAGACCTCACTACCTCTGAGGATGCTTGCCATAGATGCAGGCGAAACGTCAGGAGAAATGCCTCTAGAACATGGCTCTATAGCCCGAAAAAACCCACAAGAACCTAGTGATTCCAGCCATGAAAGCCTTCGACAATAAATAGTCAAATTTTTGACTGTTTCAGACCACTTCATTGAGCTAGGTGGTCTAGAAAGTAGAGGACGGGTAACAAAAAGAGAAATCCAAAATGTAACAAAGAATTGTGATAATGAATCCAGCCTTAATATAGAGATTTGCAGAGAATATTAGCTTCTTGCAGGTACAACAGAAATATAGTACGAGCATATCCATGTTCTTAATAGCTTATATTGCTTCTCTTTAATGATACGAATTTTCCTGCAGGCGCCAGCTGTGGATGTTGTTGCTGTGGGCCTTGTGTCTGGTCACATCATAGTGCATAATATTAAGTTTGATGAAATGCTGATGAAATTTCAACAAGATTGGGGTCCCATAACTGCAATATCATTCCGTACAGGTAACCTTGAGAGTTTTCTGAAATGTAGTAACATTGACAAGAAAGTGTTTACATAAGAAATGCTGTCAAAACAATCCTAGATTTAATGTAAAACATAAAAGTTGAAGCACAGTTTTAATATAATCTTCTTTGTCAACTGATACAAGTCATCATTAATCCAGGACTAGTCTGCAATTTTAGTCTAGCTTGATTGATACTTTGACAGAATTTGAACAAACTTCATGTACTGAATTTTTTAGGTGGAACTGTATATAATGTTGTGGAATAGAGTTTAATGAGAACACTAATTTTGAACAAAGTCCATCAATCAGAACTGGAACTTTCTTAATTTTACTTCTGTGTTTGTTCACATATGTAATTATGCACATTTATGCTTACATCTTTAGTGTTTTTAGCTTTTCTTCCCAGTAGTGAAAGTTTGTGCTTTCTGACCGTCTCAAGCACTGTTTGCCCTGACATATCTTACTCTAAGTTAGGAAACCTGTATTATTTTTCTTCCTTTTATGTGATCAGATGGGCATCCAGTTATGGCTGCTGGAAGTCCGGTTGGACATATTGGGTTGTGGGATCTAGAAGAGAAAAAACTCCTGGGCCAGATGAGAAATGCCCATTCCACAGCAGTTGCAGGCATGTCCTTTGTCCAAGGAGAACCACTTCTCATTACTAATGGTGCAGATAATGCTATAAGGGTAAGTCGAGAGTATTTTTTTTGTTTTCATTTATGCCTAAAATGACTAAGAAATGATGCGTCTTGGAATTCTATTAACAGCCATGACTCCATTTTCTTGGGAACAAAAATCTAGTATTTACTGAAAACTTTCCCCAAAGTAGCCACAAAGTTCTTGGCATTTCCATGATGGATGTGCAGAGTGTGTCTTGTTGTACAAGTTCTTGCATGATAAAGTCTCAAATGTTGAGAAGTAGCTGGTGCTTTTTTCCCATTACTAAGCCAATCGAGTTCTTTTAATAGGAGGCCATAGTGATTCCTTGTAACCTGGTTGGGCCTTGGAGTGGGAAATCAGGTGTAATTACATCATTTCTAATGGGGTACACAGAAGTCAGGATTTGGTTCAGATACTGAGTTATAAAGATATGCAGCTTTAGATATAAATATCCACAAACATTTAATGTCACATTTCAGCAACCTTGCAGTATTTGGAAATGTATCATATATACTTGAAGATAAGCCAAGTTTTTCAGCCATTTTGGGGGGCTAGTTTGCTGATTTTCTTTGAAATACAGTAAATATTCAAAAACACTTAACCTACTGATGCCTCAATGTAATTTTATTGTTATCTATTTTTATTTTGAAATTTAACAGTAGCTGCTGCATTTCCCACTCTCAGCTTATACTCAAGTCAATAAGAGTTCTCAGTTTTTTTTGTGGTAAAATTAGGTGCCTCGGCTTATATTCTGGTCGGCTTATACTTGAGTATATACGGTAATACAGAGTAAGACTGTGCTACTGATTCTGCCAAATTCCAAATATCATGGCTGTTTGGGCTCATGTGCACTAACACTGATTTAAAAAGGTGTGACCAATTTGATTCTCAATGGAACAGCAAAGCCTGCAGCACTTTGGACTGATCTGAAGATTCAGATATTAAAAACAAATGGAGAAAAGACAAGACAGTGCATTTTAACATTACCATTTAAAGAAAATATCAAGGTGGTGAGATTAAGAGAGGAGCTGGGTTTTGCTCATTGACACCTCTGCCATACTATAAGAAGCCAGAATGCCCAGTTTTTTGTGTTGCCGAGAGTGCTTTTGCACTGTTAAAGGGGGTTTTATGGATTTCACAGGTCCCAAGTATGAAAACCCAATGTATCTGAAATAGACTTAATCTCTTCTTTGGGGTCTACTGTTTTTCTATGTTTCTGTGAAAAAAATAGTGTTTTGGCCTTTCCCATGCAAGTCAGTGAGTAGATCCATGTTCTTTAATCATAATTTAGATTCAGGGGCCAGATTAGATTGAGCCTAGCCAGACCTGTATCCATGTGCCAAATTGGTCTTCAGACCATGTTAGGGGACCCATTCACAGCTCTAATGTCAATTATTTTGCATGTTCTTAAATACACCAGATGTTTGTGGCCACATAAAGTGCTACAGTTATAATTTATTGCTAGTGTATGTTTACGTCATTGTGACCTTTGATACTGAAACCAGTCTTTTACTGCTGTTTTCCTTTCCACAGTAGTTTTCTCAAGTTTGTTCATTTATCAAATAGGTGTGGATCTTTGATGGCCCTGGTGGAAATGGGAGATTGCTGAGATGTCGAATGGGGCACAGTGCCCCTCCAACGAAAATTAGGTATCATGGGCAAAATGGACATCAAATTCTTAGTGCCGGTGAGAATTCTTTCAGCTTCTCATTCCGTTGAAATGACTAATTTTGTTTTGGAGGAAGTGATGCCATTTTGCATGACAGCTTATGACATTGAATCTGATTTTGAAGTTCAGTTTCAGCTGATTAAGGATTAGTCACCATTTGGCAGTTTTCCACTGATTTCAACTTATTTTTGCTCCAAAAGTACAGATTAAGTCATGAACAGGTTTTGACATTTTCACCTTTGATTTTCTACTACTGTACTTCACAACAGTGAAATAGCAGAAGAGAACAGTGGGCAGTTTAAATTGAAGATGTGGTGGTTGTTGTTTTTTCTCTGCCAGAAATATTGTAATACTACCTCACTTCACTGAGGAAAGTTCAAACCTGGATTAATGACCATAAATGAGTTGATTTTATCCTGAACACAAAGTTGTATGCAACAGTTTCACAGTGACTTAAATTTGAGGGCCACTAAGTGTATTTTCTTATATACATTCTACTGTAGGCCAAGACAGTACCTTGCAGTCGTTTTCCACTGTACATGAAAGATTCAATAAAAATTTAGGACGTGGTAAGTTATTATACTGCTAATAACCAAATTGTGATACTGAGTTTGAATAACACTGAATAATGAAAACAGTTAGTGATTCTTTATCCTGCCATAGTTTACCTGCCTTCTGGATATCCTTTTTGTTTATTTGTGTTCAAAAAGTGATGTACATGTTCTGTGAATTGTTACATTATAGACTTTGGAGAGAAACATGCCTTGTACTTCTTTCATTCTTTCATAGTTTGGCAGAAATAATTAATTTTGCTATGTATCCTTAATCAATGCCAGTCACATAGAGGAAAGGGGCTGTGATTGAAATGAGTGAACATTCTGACAATTCTGGGTTTTTGCTTGTTTGTTTGAAATTTATCATGCATATAATTTTAGTGGAATTTGTTTAGAAAAACCCTAATTAGAATTGAGGATGGCACAAATTGATAATAAATGATACCTTTCTTAAGATATAAAAAAGTCAAGCTGTTATTTTATGACCATATAACATTTATAACATTTCTGGCATTTTAAAGGTTCAATAAATAAAAAGAAATCAAAAAAGCAAGGCCTTCTGTATGACACGATGGTCCTCCCACCTATTACAACATTTGCATCAGGTATGTAATTTTTGCATTATTTGTGTGAATGTATTAAGACAGCATAAAACTAAACACTTAATTGGAAATTATAGCTGTGTGTGATATCTTTTTCAGATGTTGTTGGAAAAACACAGATGTGTATGTTATGCCTTGTCAATAAAATGTACATGGTATTTCTCAAATACAGTGTTATGCCAAATAAACCAAAACTTTTGCTGCACTTTTAGAATATTCAGAATTATTGTGTACTTTATCCTAAAATATATGAAAGGTTGGAGCAGGGTGAGCTCCATCTTCCCAAGCAGGGACATGAGAGAAGCCTCCCACAGGATGGTAAAATACCCTGGCATCCCCTGAACAACATCATTGCATACTGTCAATTCCCTCACATCAGACGGGACCTGCAGTTTCACAAGTTGCTCCTGACACAAGACATGTGTGTGTGTGTGTGTGCGTTATGTTTTAGTGCTTCCTGTAATGATAAAATTCACAAAACCACAGTCGGTAATATATCTCACTATCTCTTCTTTTTTTCACAATCCACACAGTAGGGCAAAAATTTCGTCAGAACTTACCAAAATGCAGCAAAATTCTAAGACTTTTGAGAGCTTTTGGAGCAATTGCAATAATGTGAAATGAATTTTGACATTTAGAAATATGTATTCATTTTGTAGAAAACATGAAATGTAAGAGCCATTCAGTCTATCTCAAGATTTATGCAGAACATGCACAGCTCTTGACAGGAAGTGCAGAAATACAAGAGCAGTTTGAAAAATCTTTATAACTGAGATGTTCACTACTGCAATAAACTTATTGGTGTGATGGCAATGGTAAAAGGGGCAAACCACACTAGGAAGGGCAGTTTTACAAAACAGCTTTTCAATGTGTCTTTTGTTTCAAAGGGATTACCCCAGAATTCAGGAACAGTGGAAATAACCTGCTTCGCCGTGCTGGTGCTCTCTACTAGAGACTCTTAAGTTCCTCACAAAACTACCATTTCCAGGTTTCATTAAAATTTACCTGAACTACTTAAAAGTGGTATTAAGCTGCAATAACGGTGTAAAATGGATACACCCTTAGTTTCTTATCTGGAGAGGTGACGATATTGTTACCATTGGGTGCCTACAAGTCATTTCTGATCCTAAGGAGAATCCCTTGCAGTGTTTTTGTGACATTATTTCTTCAGAGTAGGTTTGTCCTTGTCTTCCCCTGAGACCGAGAGTGTGATTTGCCCAAGGTCATCCAGTGAGTTTCAGTGACTGAGCTGGGATTTCAATTCAACTCTTCCAGTTTCCTAGTCCAACTCTCATTACTACACCATGCTTGTTCCATTTGTAAAGCATTTCCACACTCTTTCCGGGAACAGGGAGGGATGGGTTCTTTTTTGACGTCATGTGCAGCCTGTCATGCCTTTTGGATACTACTTAAGAGGCAATTGAACTTTCAGATGCGGATGTAATATGTTCATTTTAATAGCTTCTTGTACAACAGTATATATAAAAGTGTTTTAATCATTTTCCTTGACTCTTATTAAGAAGTAAAGGGAAGCACATTGTGCCAAGGATTTCAGAACAATGCCAGAATTTGTAAAAATTTGTATGTAAAGTAACATATTGCAAAGTAATTTTGAAACCTGTTTTTAATTATTGATTATTGCTTCTCAGGTAGGAATTTTGTAATTTGTTACTTGGTTGTGTTGCAGAGGTAGCCCGTCAGAGTGATTGGGATGGGATCATTGCTTGCCATCAAGGTTACGTAACATGTACTTCTTGGAATTACCAGAAAACTTCAATGGGAATCCACAAATTAAAGCCAAAAGACTTCAGCAAACATAAACCTCTTGGTGTTTATGCAACAGTAAGGATTTTTTTTAAAAAAAATGATACTTGATGTAGAAAGTGCCTTTGTAACAGAAATTCAAAAAGAATATACATTACTTGCAAAAATTATAGTCCTGAGCTTACTATTGAATACCTAGCTAGTATGTAGTGCTCCAAAAAATCATGTATCTGAACACCTCATGTCAAAATCATTTGGAAATAAAATGAATTTGTATTAGATAAGAGCTAACTATGCTGACAGATGGCATTAGTAATTAAATTATTAATATATAGTTATAGAAAGGAACAAACTTTTATTGTATTACGGTATTTTGATACTACACATTAGACATGTTTTTACCTTCTTTATTTTAAAAGCAACAAGAAATCCTTACAGTAGACATTTTTATTCCATATAAATCACATTTTTCTCTCTTCTTTAAAGGCAGTTGATATCACATCCTGTGGAAACTTTGCTGTAATTGGACTTACAATAGGACAAGTGGATGTATACAATATGCAGTCTGGCATTCATAGAGGATGCTATGGCAAAGAAAAAGGTGAAAACCTAAGCTTATAAATAATTTACAACAATTGGTTCAGTATTCTGATCCATGCAAAAATCTAGGTGATATAACTGAGATGCTATCTTGTTTGCAGCTGAAATTGTTTACAGTATAATATTTTGTTAGGTGGGCAAAGTTGCTGAACAGGTAGTTCCCAAGTTATGAACAAGATAGGTTCTGTAGGTTTTTTCTTAAATTGAATTTGTATGTAAGTTGGAACAAGTACATTTTTTAAATGTAACTCCAGCCAAAAATGTATATTTTTTAGGGTTAACACCCCATGTAATGTTTGTTTTGCTGTCTGTGCCCCTGTTCAGAAGACTTCCCCTCATTTTCTGTTCCTGTGATAATTGGAGTTAGAAAAATTGGCTTGTTGTGGAAACAAGGATTGGTGAGAAAGCTTCAGTGGAAACACATTTCCTCGTGATGACTCTTGAGTGAATTTCCCTTCCTGGGGATATGATTCTCTCACTTCCTGTTGTCTTACCCCTGTTCTTAATTATAAGTCATTTGTAAGTCGGATGTTCGCAACGCGGGTGTGACGATATGTATTTTTATTCCTACAGTTGTGTGTTGTTTAGATAATAGTTAATAATGGTATGTATGTAAAATTATATTTTGTTAGAGATGGTGGCTGGCTTGGCTTGCCTTTAGCTGAGTTGCCATAGCAACGGGGGTGGAGCCAACTGCCACTTGACAGCACAGCTGTTTGAAAGTGGGCAGTCTGTGACCAAAGAGTTACAGGAGAGGATCCTGGAACTGATCTGTAATTAGTGTAATTACAGAGTTAGTCGATCCTGTGTGGAAGTGAAAATCCAACAGGAATCCTGTAGTATTAGATCTACAGGTGTCAAGGTTTGGCTTGGAGCCAATACAGCTAAATAAATCAAGTGGCTTATTTGTTTTACTAGAACAGAAGGAGATATCTACTTAAAGAAACCTTTTGAAGTCTGTTTAGTACCTAAAGTTATTCAAGAAACCTTATCAATGTAGCCAACTAAGTTTGTGCCTCTAGAGAAGTAGCATTGAATCTGTTATACTCCCGTTATATTTCAATAAATGTGTTACTGTTTTCCTCAAGCCTTGCCTCTGCTACACTTTCTTCTAAGCCAAACAGCTTGCACAAGAAGAAAGGTCAAATCAGGGACATTAAATATAAGCTACGCTATCAAATAAGTAAATCCTTCTTTAATTAGTAGTCCCTTTATAACACAGCTCCTAAGTTGATACTGATAATTACATGGGTTCCTCACAAATTGGTTGCAGACGACGGGATTCGATAACATCTGATTTAGTGCCTAAAGATCACCAAAAAGAAAATCCTGGGGTAAAAGTTGAAGCCAAAAGATGGCGGCTAAAAAGCAAAGCAAAGTAACAAAGGAGGTTGAGGTTTATCAAGAAGAGGGAAGCTCAGACTCAGACCAAACTCTTACATCTGAAATACAATTCAAATATCAACTAGAGTTAAGGAAATTGGAAATTGAGGCACAGGACCGGGCAAGACAAAGAGAAATTGAAATGGAAGCTCAAAAAAGACAGGCAGAGGCACAGGAGAGAATTAGGCGCACTACCCAGCGCATTGCCAAAAACTTCTTTTAGCCCGGCATGTACCAACAAATTAAGGACTTTTGTCAGTCTTGTGACATCTGCCAGAGGATCAGTTCCGGCCAAGATAAAACAAAAGCTCAATTGATTCCCATGCCAATTATTGGCAAGCCTTTCTTTAGAATTGGTATTGACATTGTGGGCCCTCTGCCAAAGCCAAGTCGGCGAGGCTGCAGATATATCTTAACGATGATGGACTATACCACTCGTTACCTGTGGTTGTTATATTCCAATAAATTTGTTACTGTTTTCCTCAAGCCTTGTCTCTGCTACACTTTCTTCTAAGCCAAACAGCCTGCACAAGAAGAAAGGTCAAATCAGGGACATTAAATATAAGCTACGCTATCAAAGAAGTAAATCCTTCTTTAATTAGTAGTCCCTTTATAACACAGCTCCTAAGTTGATACTGACAATTACACGGCTTCCTCACAGCAGGAAATGTCTGTACATAAATGAAACTATACTTGGCATATATACACTTCCATATGATTTGTGTTTTGTTATACTGTATATAATACCAATAGGACCCCCTCGTGGTGCAGTGGGTTAAACTGCTGAGCTGCTGAATTTGCTGACCGAAAGGTTGATGGTTCGAATTTGCGGGACAGGGTGAGCTCCCATTGTTAGCCCCAGCTTCTTCTAACCTAGCACTTCAAAAACATGCAAATGTGAAAAGATCAATAGGTACCACTCCAGCAGGAAGGTAACAGCACTCCATGCAGTCATGTTGTCCACATGACCTAGGAGGTGTCTACAGACAACTCCAGATCTTCGCCTTAGAAATAGAGATGAGCACCACCCCCCAGAGTCAGACTCGACTGGACTTAATGTCAGGGGAAACCTTTACCTTATGATACTAATATATGCTAATACATATGTATTGGCATATATATGTGAAATAGAAGAACATAAGGGAACTTGTCTTAATTGCAAAGTGATTTCTGTATACCAGGTGAGGGACATGAGTTCTGGAGCATTATTTGGCTCTTTGCACCTGCTACATGTGAAGGCTAGGCTGTAATCTCTAAAGCAAGGGTCCGCAAACTTTTAAACAGAGGGCCAGGTCACAGTCCCTCAAACTGTTGGAGGGCCGGATTATAATTTGGAAAAAAAACATGAAAAAAATCCTATGCACACTGCACATATCTTATTTGTAGTGGAAAAAAACACTTACAAACAATACAATAATTAAAATGAAGAACAATTTTAACACATGTAAACTTATTACTATTTCAGTGGGAAGTGTGAACCTGCTTTTCGCTGATGAGATAGGATTGTTGTGGTGTGCTTTCAAGTTGTTCCAGACTTAAATTGACCCTGAGCGAGGGCCAGGCAAACAACCTTGGAGGGCCGCATCTGGCCCCCGGGCCTTAGTTTGAGGACCCCTGCTGTAAAGTATGAAAACTGCCAGCAGATTGAACTGTCTCTTTGAGCTTTATGTGTTTTTGCAAATGAAAGGAGAAAGGGATAATGTTTTCTTTCAATTTATACAGCCTACTTAGCTTGTGCTAGTCCCCAGCAATATTGCATGCTAGTAAAAAGTAGGGTTGGAAAGCCTACAGACATTTCAGATTTGTTGACTTCCAGTTCCCATCTGCCACTTCCATCCTGGCTAATGGTGAATGGTCTAGCAGTTACAGTTTATCAAAATTGGAAGGACCACAGATTCCTTACCTTTTCCATGAAATACTCTGGTAAGGAAGCAGCCATGGTAAATGTGCATATTGCTGTTTCATATTAGAGTAATTTTTTTAACCACTCATGCATATTTTTTTCTTCTGCAATAACGGAATCCCAATTTTAGGAATAACTTCAATGCATTTGGTTGCACAGTATTATCACACAAGTGACCAACTTTACTCTTTATCTTTAGACCTGGATTTTGATCAGCTGAGGTTATCATAGCCACCTGCTCTTGCAGGATGATGTAGTGATGATTGCATAATTGTTCACTTAATTAAGTTCCCATTAATTCAGTGACTCAGGATTGAGACTGTTGACAGTAACAATTACATTTACACTTTTGTGCTTAGTTTGACTAGTTTCACTTTGATTATGACATTGCTCATAAAGATTAAGCTTTCTTTTTCACAGAACTGTGGTCAGAGTTAGGAGGAAATATAATTAACTTCTTTTGTGATTAAAGCTCATGAAAGTTCTATTAGAGGAGTAGCAGTGGATGGATTAAACCAGTTGACAATCACAGCAGGAAGTGAAGGATTGATTAAATTCTGGAAATTCAAGACCAAAGAACTTGTCCATTCTACTAATCTCTTCTCTTCACCCAGTAAAATGTTGCTTCACAGAGACAGGTGAGCTCATAAAACCTATTTAATGAAAATGGATTTAATAACTTTTGTCAAAGATAAGTGTTTTTTCCCCCAAAACCTGTGCTCCTCGTATCTCTTGGTGCAGCAGTGGTGATTTATTTGCTTTTAGTTCACAGCAAGGGCAATAAAATGCGAATAAAAACAGAAAATGAGAAAAATGAATTAAACTAGGCATTTATTCTTCACTGGAAACCTGAGTAAATATTTTGAACTCAAATTTGAGAAAGAATTATTAATGAATCTACTATCTTAATCTGTATACTTATCTGTAAGCATCTGTTAGGAGGTTTTCCTTTAAGAAGGTTTTTTAAAAAACGGATGCGTTCCTAAAAGCATCAGTGATGGGCAGTTGTAATTTTTGCAGCCCCTTTTTAAATATATGTTTATGTTCTGCTGAATTTTACCAGTGGCATTCTGGGAATCGCAATGGATGACTTTGGAATCATTGTTATGGATATAGAAACAAGAAGAATTGTGAGAAAGTTTTCTGGGCACCAACGACAGATAAATGACTTGGTAAGTCTGTATGTATCTTATAATTTGTGTGAAAATGTATAGGTACCCCCAGTGTGTATTTTTCTGCTTTGGGTCTTATGCAAAAATAAATGGTTTTTCATATACATGTGAACTTGTTGTTCTGGGAGCACCCATTCTTTGGCCAAAGTAATGTTAATAGTGAATGGCTGAAACCACTCTTGAGATTTTAAAAGAAAAGTGGAAATATAAATTGTAAAGTAAATCTATGTGGATGATATTTCAGAGCCTAAAAATTCTCCTAAGTGTTTTAATGTGCAGATGTGCCCAATAACACTTGTTAAACTAAAATACTTTGTGTTGTCCAAGTCTTTCGTGGCTGGAATCACTGGGTTGCTGTGAATTTTCTGGGCTGTTTGGCCATGTTCCAGAAGCATTCTCTCCTGACATTTCACTCACATCAGTGGCAGTGCAGAGGTAACATCTCCTAACAAAGGATTCCTCCAAGCAGACAGTCTTCGAAGTTGCGAGGCCATTCAATGCTTATCAAAGGTGGCCAGTTGTAACATTCACACTTTCCTCAAGCAGACAAGAGTTCTTTCTCCTACCCTGGACATTCCACAGATATATAAACCTCACTTGCCTAGTTTCTAACAGACATTACAACCTCTGCGGCTGCCTGCCATAGATGTGTGCGAAATGTCAAGAAAGAAGTATTCTGGAAAATGGCCATACAGCCCAGAAAACTCACAGCAATACTTTTTGGTCTTAATCTGTAATCATAATAATTACAACAACCTCTTTATCTTTATAACCCACCACCATCTCCCAGAAGGGACTCGCGGCAGCTTACAAGCCCAAATCATACAACAAAATTTGCCAACCGAAAACAAAAATGCAGTTTAAAACATAATAACATATGACAGTCAATTATAACACAATTAAAACAGCAAGACATAAAACAGCGATAAAACTGTATCAAATCAACTCGGCAACTAGTGGCCAGGAATATAATGTGGACATGATCAGACTAGGGGTGGGGGATGGGTGGGCATGGATATGTGCAAAAACAGGCTCTGAAGCCAGGGCAGGGACTAACGTGCTGAGTACAACCTTATCAGTAAACTAGTCTGGACATTCAAGGACAGGGACTAACCATCATCAAATGCACACTGAAACATCCAGGACTGTGGCGCAGCTGGGTGAATGTCAGCTGCATTAAGATCACTTCTGACAAAAAGGTCATGAGTTCGAAGCCAGCCTGGGTCGGAGTGAGCTTCCGACCAATTGTGCGGCTTGTTGCCAACCTTTGCAGCCCGAAAGACAGTTGCATCTGTCAAGTCGGAAAATTAAGTACCACCTATGTATGGGGAGGCTAATTTAACTAATTTATGAGGCCATAAAAAAGACTCCAGCAAAGCATGCAGGGGATGCGGAAGTACTTCATCAGTGTCACAGACGATGAAAGCGACAGCTCCCCTGGCAGCCAGAAAAGTTAAATAGCCTCTGACTATCTATATCTGTTGTGTGTCTTTGGCATTGAATGTTTGCCATATATGTATACATTGTAATCCACCTTGAGTCCCCTGCGAGGTGAGAAGGGCAGAATATAAATACTGTAAATAAATAAATAAATTCCCTGCAGAGGGTGGGCAGAGTAGGGGCTAGGCTAATTTCCCTGTGGAGGGAGTTCCAGAGCTGAGGGCCACCACTGAGAAAGCCCTCTCTCTCGTCCCCACCAACCGTGCATGTGATGATGGTGGGAAGGAGAGTAGAGTCTCCCTAGCGGATCTTAAAGCCCATGCTGGTTCGTAGGGGAAGATGCAATCGCAAAGATAGGCAGAATCCGAACCATTTAGGGTTTTGTAGGGTTTTGTAGGTGTTAACCTGCAGTTTTAATTGGGACTGGAAGTTTATCGGTAGAGGAGCTGCTTTAGTAGGGGAGTTGTCCGCTCCCTATAATTAGCTCCAGTTAGAAACCTGGCTGCTGACCTTTGCACCAGTTGCAGTTTTCGGGCACTGGTGAATGACCTCCGTGGAAAGCTTGACGGAGGAGTGTGTGTCCTTGTTGGTACTCTTGGACATCTCGACCATGGTATCCTTCTGGGGCGGCTCTCCGGAATGGGTCTTGGGGGCACTGTCTTGCAGTGGTTCCGCCCCTTCCTGGAGGATTGCACCCAGTTGGTGACCTGCTCGGACCCCTGGCCATTGACCTGTGGAATCCTGCAAGGTTCCATTCTATCTCTCATGCGTTTTAACATATACATGAAACCGCTGGGAGAGGTCCTCTGGAGTTTCGGAGTTTGGTGCCATCCCTACGCAGATGACACTCAACACCGAATTGCAAGGAAGCCCCTGGGATCCTGGACGAGTGTCTGGCCGCTGTGATGGACTGGATGAGAGCTAAGAAGCTGAAGCTTAATCCAGACATGACAGAAGTCCTCTTGGTCAGTTGCAGGGCCAATACTGTGACCAGACCTGAAACCAGACTGTGATGGATCAAGAAAATTATTGGCTAGCATTTGCATTCCATGTTCGTTTACTTGTTTATTTTCCCAGTAATTCTAGGCAAATACAGGTGAATTCTGAGAATTATACATTTTTAAGGACATTTTAAAAGAATTTGGAAATGTTTCATGGGTTCACTGAGTCCATTCTATGAAAAACCAGTAAAAGGTTCTGATACTTTTACATAGATGTCTGCATTTGTTAAAATTTTAATATATGCAGTAACTTAGTAGATCAGTGTCCTATATATATCTGATACTTTCAGTATACAAGCCTTTCGCATTGTCACACTAACAGTTTATAATTGTTAAGGTAATACTGTTGTCTTACCAATTTGCACTACGATCGCCTAATACAGGTCTTCTATTTTAGACTTTCAGTCCTGATGGTCGTTGGCTACTAACTGCATCCATGGACTGTACCATTCGAACTTGGGATCTACCTTCTGGATGGTAAGTAAATTTACTAAATACTTTCCTATTTAACCATGTTTACCCACCAGTGCTACTTGACATGGTGCTTCCTGCTGGTCTATTGGCTGCTAGTTCCTAGCAAGTATTTCAAGGAGAAAGCCAGTTGTAGCCAATGGGGCACAAATATAGTGCTAGATTCTAATAAATCAGAGGGGAAATTACTGCTGGTCTACCACATCAGATAGCCCAAGAAGCATTGCTTTTAACACAGAAATCATATTTGTAATATAGAAGTGGTCTTTGAGAGATTCTTTATGTGTTCAAAAGTGACTTTTGTAACCTCTTATACATGTTATCAGTGTTATTAAATTGAGGTGTCTTCTGAGCCCAAAGATAAAAGAGGTCTAATTGTATCAATGACTGTTCAGCTGATTTGGCCGCTACTGTCCTTTCAAAAATGAGCTTGAGGAACAATTCAGGCTGTTTGTCTAGACAGGATATTGTGTGGATCGAAAAGGCACAATGTAATTTGCTGTTTTTAAAAAATAGGTGAAAGGGAACTGATTAAAAATACAATATGTTTTAAGGCCCCTTAATACAAGACATTAGAGGGGATGGGAAATTTGACTATATTTTAGCTTTGTTGGTCTACAAGTGGAGAGCACTGGGTAGTAGAAAAAAAGTTGCCATTCTTCCTGTTTCTGGCATTGATCCCTTTTGATATTTAAAATAATTTCTATCTTTGTTCTGTAATTCCAGTTTGTGTCTTGTACTTGTATGCAGTATACCATGCTCCTCTTATTCCGAATTCTATTGGTTCTATATGTTAGCTTTCAACATTTTATTCCTATATTGTAGATTTCTTCCTCCTCTTGTGATAGACATAATCCTCCCATCCTGGTAACCTCTAGGTTGGGTCTGCAGTACCCATCATCCCCAGTCAGTATGGTCAGTAAATTCATTTAAAACTAGGTGTAGTACCCAACATCTGGGGAGTACCATTAACCATTAGCAATTATTGTTTAGTTTCAACTGCTCCAGAGAATGAGCGCCTACAACTGCTCCAGAGAATGAGTGCCTATTTCTTGGAGTGTTCAAATGCTCCTCACATTGTACATTGGTTTCCATTGCCCATACAAACATACTATTCTCCAGGATTGTGTATGTGTGTCAGAAGTGACTTGAGAAACTGCAAGTTGCTTCTGATGTGAGAGAATTAGCTGTCTGTAGGGACATTGCCCAGGGAATGCCCGGATGTTTTGCCATCCTGTGGGAGGTTTCTCTCATGTTCCTGCATGGGAAGCTGGAGCTGACAGGCGGGAGCTCATCCCATCTCGCAGATTCGAACTGCCAACCTTCAGATCAGCAGTTCAACCAGCACAAGGGTTTAACCCATTACATCACCATGGTTCCTCCAGGAATGAAAAATAATAATAATGAGTGTCTGCAGTACTTCTTAGAGCTAATGTCCTAGATACTACATTACCCGCATTAAATCAGACCACCTCAAACATACCATCCAGATTTGTTGAAGATCTGACTAACAATTTATGTTATAATAGATCAACTTTCGCCTGTGTCGGGCATTTTTGCTTGAACTTGTCTTTTTCCATTCACCATTGGCATTGACATTTAAATATGTCATCACTTGCTCACACCTGAAACACCTGAAATTGTCTTGTTCTGATAAGATCTTTCGATGCTTCTGGAAATTGCATGTTTGGAATCAAGTGTAGAGGATGCTATGCTGTGCCTGTCAACTAATTAGTCTTGTGTTTTGCATGCTATTGGGTTTTTTTTTAAGACATTAGACCAGTGCTATGTAACTCTTGGCCCTTTCCCATGATCTTCATTTGTTTTGCCCCAATACCTATTAGCTCTTGCCGATCTGAACCAAGTTTAGGCATGACTGTGGAATGCTAATTTATCAGTATTAGGAAGACTGACATTTTCCCATTCCTACCTGAGTACTGACAGTTTAGTAATAAACATGTTATTCATTTTTAAATCGTAATATGAAACCAGTAAGTTATTTGCTTCCAGGAAAAAATAATAATGTCATAATAATCCTTCTTAGATACCTTAAAGGTACCAGATCGTGTCTGCTTGTGGATGCTAAGTAGGGTTAGCCCTGGTTAGTACTTCGATAGGGGACTGCCAACAAATACTGGGTGCTGTATGCTGTATTTCATAGGAAAAAAATGTCAGAACCACCTCTAAAGTATTCCTTGCCTTAGAAGAATCTATGAAATGTATAAATCAACAAGTGACTTGCACATACATACACACACACATAATTAGATACGCTGCTAAACTATTTAACAAGAACAGTTAAAGTTTTCTAGATGATGAAAGTGAATTAATACGTTATCCTATAATTCATAAGTGCACATATTGCAGTTTTTCTTTTTACCATGGTTCGAACTTGCAGTGTTAACATACATGTGTAGTGTGAGCCCCCAGAGGATGTTGGAGTGCAGATTCTATAAGCCCCAAGCAGCATTGCTAATAACAAGCAAATTTGACAGTTTAAGCCCAGCAATATAAAGGGGGCTGCTAACGAAAGGGAATGCAGTAAAGTTTGAAGAATTAAATTTGATTTACCCATGTTGTATTTGGGATGTTTGCCTCTTGCCCCTTAGTTACAGTTTTTCAGACTACATGTACACCAGTTATGTAAACAAGAATACAGCTAAAAACCTTCTAATCCAATAGAAAGAACTCTTCATGAGTTGGAGAGCCAAGCTTTTTTTTATTACAAATATGATTTGCAAAAGTAACTGGGAAGACACCTGTCTCCCAGGAAGATTATTATGGCAAGAAGACTGCTTTGGCCCATCCATTGCTTGCTTTTACCTCTCTCTCTGCCAGAAAGCACACTGATCGTCAACTGGCAGATGTCTCTAGAGCAGGTCCGACAACACACAAAGGGCTTCCCTGCAGCCTGCAAAAGGGACTGGGCTTCCCCTTCTGGTTGGCCCTTTGCATTCCTGCATTCCTGGTCCTTTAAAAAGCCTAAAAAGGTAAAGGTAGTCCCCTGACATTAAGTCCGGTCATGTCTGACTCTGGGGTGTGGTGCTCATCTCCATTTCTAAACCAAAGAGCCAGCGTTGTCCGTAGACACCTCCAAGGTCATGTGGCCGGCATGACTGCATGGAGCGCCGTTACCTTCCCGCCGGAGCGGTAACTATTGATCTACTCACATTTGCATGTTTTCGAACTGCTAGGTTGGCAGAAGCTAGGGCTGACAGCGGAAGCTCACGCCGCTCCCCGGAATCGAACCTGCGACCTTTCGATCAACAAGCTCAGCAGCTCAGTGCTTTAACCCACTGCGCCACCGGGGGCTCCTAGGCTTAAAAGGCCTAGTAGTAGTAATAGTAGTAACAACAACAACAACAACTTCTTTATTCTTATACCCTCACCATCTCTCCCCAAAGGGACTTGGGGAATCTTACAAATGGGACGAAATGTCCACAAGACAAAAAAGCAAACACAACCCATAAAACAAAACACATTAAAAAGGAGCTCCTTGAAATACAACAACCAAGATAAAACAGACTAAACATTGGGTATTCAAATGTTCAGGTTGTGCATGCCTGCTCTAGAGTGTAGAGTCAAAGGGAAGCCTTCCCTGGCCCCATCCATATATGACTGATACTGGGTCATTTTCAGCTGTAAGGGAAGTTCACATTGCTGATTTTGTAAATCAGGCACTTTAATTTAGAATATCAACATGATACAATGTTTTTCTCTTGCAGCCTCGTTGACTGTTTTCTTGTAGATTGTGCACCAGTAAGCATCACTATGTCACCTACTGGAGATTTTCTGGCTTCATGCCATGTAGATGATCTCGGAATTTACCTATGGTAAGTCCACATAATGTGTTTCAAATAAATGCACCCCATAATGTGTTCAACATTCAGCCCAGGACTACCAGACATCAGGCAGTTCTTGGGTTGATCTATATTAAGATTCAAGTCCTTGCCTTTGGAAAATAATTCTCTGACATCATTTTGTTATTGGATTAGCCAGGTTGTCTGGGATCATTTCCATAATGTAACTAAATATTCCCTGGAAGGTAATTCCATTCATGACATGGAATAATTCAAAAGAGGTACTTCACCTCTACGCTTTTGTGCTCTGTCAGAAATTGTTTCTGAAACTCTCTTGATCTTCAGAAGCTGTTTCCCTTATGATATGTATTGAGGCTATTTATTGTCAAAGGCTTTCATGGCTGGAGTCACTGGGTTGTTGTAGGTTTTTTGGGCAGTATGGCCATGTTCTAGAAGCATTCTCTCCTGACGTTTTGCCTGCATCTGTGGCAGGCATCCTCAGAGGTTGAGGGGTCTGTTGGAAACTAGGAAAATTGGGTTTATGTATCTCTGGAAGATCTAGAGTGGTAGAAAGAATTCTTGTCTGTTGGAGCTAGGTGTGAATGTTTCAATTGGCCACCTTGATTAGCATTTGATGGCTTGTTACTGCCTGGGAAAATCCTTTGTTGAGAGGTGATTAGGTGTTCCTGATTGTTTCTTGTCTGGAGTTCCCCTGTGTTTGAGTTCTGTTCCTTATTTACTGTTATAATTTTAGAGTTTGTTAATACTGGTAGCCAGATTTTATTCATTTTCATGTTTTTTACCTTTCTGTTGAAATTGTCCACATGCTTGTGGATTTCAATGGCTATTGCTTAGGATAAGAGATGTAGAGACAGTTATGTATGCTTTTAGATCCCATCAGTAATCTTTTGATTCCCAACCCTTTTACTCTGGTTGAAGACAGAACTGTTCTTCATGCCACATGATCACAGCTGGTTAATAATCAAGGGAGGTACACATACATTCTCTATCTACTTCTCTGTGATGGGAAAGCCTTCAAAGAAGGACAGACATACACCAGCAAAACTCCAGAGCTTGGACACGTTACTTTTTGGAACTCAAATTCTCAGTATTGTGAGTCCTCTCTTTGCTAAAATGATCAGTAACCCAAAAGTCTGGTTAAATGCTAAAGCTTTCCTAAGCTCTTCAGAATTTCTTTAGTTGTTTGGACAGCTCTCAGCTAATACAGATTGAACCACAAAGAGTATAGATTGCTTGCCTCTCTCTTTTTATCCCCCCAATAATTGGTTTTGTCTTGATTTTTTCAGGTCTAATCGTTCCTTGTATTCACTTGTTTCCTTGCGTCCACTTCCAGCAGATTATGTGCCTTCAGTTGTAATGCTTCCTGGAACTTGCCCAGCTCAAGGTAATAATATGTGTAGATGACATTTGGATCAATCTCATAGAATAAAAGATATAAAATATCTCAACTTTGATTACGCCTAGTCCTGTGGGTAGGGCATTCTTAATTAATCTTAGGAATTCTTAGAGGAAAGCCATCCTTCAAGGCTAGGAGGATCTTTATCATTATAGGCCTTTATAGTTGAGAGGCATGGATTGAAGTGTTTCTAGGCATAGTGGGAAGTCAACATCCACACTAAAGTGATGTGTTAGATTTATTTACCTTATCACTGGCAGCATTGTATCAACTAACAGTAGTCAAAATAATCACTCTAATGTTAATAGCCACAATCTAGTGTTAGTGGCAAGAAGATATGCTTGAAATCTTCCAGGTTTAGATGAAGACTATAACATCAATTTTATTGGGAATGGCAAAAGATAATTTCATAAATTCTTCTAGTTGCAACTGCAAATGCTACAATAGATTACAAACCTGAGAAATCCCCTCTGCTGATATATTAGAGCTGCCAATATTGTGTGAATTTTCAGGTATAGACAAGTCCTACATGTCATCATTTGTTGGCAAGTTAAAGAAGCTACGTTCTGAGATGGAGAGGAGGCAAGCCCAAGTAATAGTCTGGTATCTCGTGTGTTTGTGGAACAGCTGGTAAAATAGGAGTGATTGAGAGATGAGTGTCATTGTTTCCATAGCGTGACAACTTGCTTACAGACTTTATGCAGAAAATTACAAGGAAAGGTTGCAGGAAAATGCGTAATGAAACTGGAAGCAGTCCAGTTTGATGTCTAGGCAGAAAGTTCAAATGTCGTGTCCTGTCTGGATTCAGGCCTCTAGGTTAACTTGTATCTATTCATTCTGTGAATCATAAATTTCAGTAAAAGTTGTGAAAGTTATGTCTTTGTTGCTACTGATATTAAGTTTTTCATTTTTTGCTTTTAATTTTATAAGAATGATTTAAACATTATCAAAAATATGTATTGATATACTGCAGTATGGATACAATGTCATAATTCACTAATGTTTGTGCCTTTAAGTCACTTGTTAATTTATGGAGACCCCCTGAATTTCGTGGAGGTTTCAGAGGTGGTTTGCCATTACCTTCCCTGTGAATTACAGCCTACAGGAACTAGTATCCCCTGCTGGCCCCCATCCAAGTACTAGCCTTGCCTGACCCTGTTTATCCTCTAAAAATTCATTTGGGATTTGGAGCACTAGGTGGCTGATTCCATTCAGATGCAACATAAATAGATTTGCATATCATAAACTCGTCCTGTGCTTTCCTCCCTTTAGGTGCATGAAAAAAATCAGATAATATTTTCTTTTTGTGGAATTAGCCTAATTTTTCAAAATCCAATTCTCACATGAACAGAAAGTGAGGTGAAATCTTCTGAACAGGGGCATAAACAGCAAAACAAAGCTTCCCTATGCTGTCCAAAACCTATATATATATATGGCCGGAGTTACATTAAAAATGTACTTGTGGAAACAAGGACTGGTGAGAAAGCTTCAGTTGAGACCCCTTTTACCATGGTAATTCTTCCAGGAATGAATTTTCCTTGCGAGGGGTAGATTTCCTCACTTCCTGTTGTCTCACCACAGTTATTAACTCTGAGTCGTTTGTAAGTCATATGTTTCTAACTAGGGGTCTGCCTGTATAATTTGGAGCAGATTTCTATCTCATATGTGCACTAGAATAAGAAAAATGGGAAGCACATTAGCCTGGAGAATTAGTCATCTGTGGTTTAGTGTTTTGTCTAAACTCAGCCTGTGTGTGGAAAGATGGGATTAAAGTAGGTTGAACAAAATGTGGTGCTACTACTGTTTTGTTGAGGGCTACTAGAAATATTAGGATATGTCCCTCATTTTTTCTTTCAGATCCAAACAGAAAAACACTGTTGGCTCTTAATAACTCAAAGAGGGATAAAATTAAATGAGAAACTGGTTTCAAGCAGACTAATGGAGTTCCCAAAGGCCAAGTTTAATAGTTTCTTAATCTTACACACAGAGAGCAGATATAGAAATTGAGATGCTTGTACTCACCCCCACATATGCATTTTAGTCTTTATACAAATTATTAAATTGTTCCTTGTTTTAAGGGGGACTTGTAGAAATGGCTGCCATTGTTGCAGTAGAGTCAGTGGAATTGCAGAATGGAGAATTGTCTTAAGTTTCCCAGCACCTGAAACCTCCCAGTTTGGTGTATTGACTTGGGTTTTGGGCTAAGACTCCAGAATTCCAGGTATGAATCCCTGCTTGAGTATGAAGCCAACTGGGTGACTTCTTTACTATTACCGTGGCCTACATTTTGAGGGTTAAAACTGTATTGTGCCTTGTTCTTAGAGGAAATACAGGACATAATAGACATCAGGCAAATAGGTAAACCAGTGAGACCACCCTTTATTTCTACCATTCTTTGCAAGGAAGATCCAGCAGTGGCCATGATGGGGTGAGGTTACATAGCCAAGTATGTCATCCATGCAATTATGCAATCCTTAACAAAGAAGATATTTTGTTTCTACGAGTCCTCCAGGGTGTCAAGCAGACATAATAAATTCATTCCTATAAAAAGAACTGGGGGGAAAAGCAAACCTGAAACAGAAATTGTAATGCTCTAAAAGTCGTCCTCTTGCATAGCTTTTAGAAGTGACAGCAAATTTGTCTTAATCTTTCATTCATCATTTAATCCTTCTAAAGAAGAAAGCCATAGGAAAAATAGGTATTCATATCTCTACTTGTAAACATATTTGTTGAAAAGTCTTTTTGAAGTTCCTGTGATCAAGAACCCTAAAATAACTTGTAGGTTCCCGGTAGTTGTACAATCAATGAGATACATGTTGTTGCAATTGATTTTTCTCAGTCTTGATTCTGTATTAAAAATATTTCAATTCAAAGATGTGGATGTCACAGAAGAGGAAGAAACAAGTGATGAAATGGTAGAATATGATTCTCCAGATCAGCTGGGGGAAGCCTTAGTGACCCTTTCTACATTGCCAGAATCTCGATGGAAGAATCTTCTCAACCTTGATATTATAAAGGTAATGTACTCTTTCTGCACATTGGAAGGGTGGTTCCTCTGCACGGTCCCTCTGATAATTTCTGCAGTGCCTGAAAGGCATCTAGGGCAAAAATATATCAAGAATACTATTGATTTTCATCTATTTTGATTTCCCCCCTGACACGAATGGAAATTATTGGGATTTTAAAATGTCTCATTGAGTTGTCCAATTAATATAATAAATTAATATAAGCCGTTCTTTTTTTGTAATTGCCAATTCTGTAATTACATTTTTCACATGGAGGTGCATATGAATTTGGACTGGGACAGTAAAATATCCCCAGGCTACTGTTTCTGGTTCATTTGCTATAATTACTCTAGATGTTGTTTAATCCTTTTTTAGAAAAGTCTTAAATTGCTTCTTACACTGTGGGTCTCAACTTTAAATGAGGTCCTCTTAGTTTTGAGTCTCCTTGTAGAGACAAAAAGCAGGTTATAAATAAACATAATAATAATAACAACCACAATAATTAGGTTTTTTTTATGTCAGGAGTGACTTGAGAAACTGCAAGTTGCTTCTGGTGTGAGAAAACTGGACGTCTGCAAGGACATTGCCCAGGGGACGTCTGAATGTTTTATCATCCTATGGGAGGCTTCTCTCATGTCCCCGCATGGGAAGCTGGAGCTGACAGATGAGAGCTCACCCCACTCCCTGGATTCGAATCGCCGACCTTTCAGTTAGCAGTCCTTCTGGCATAAAGGTTTAGCCCAACAGTGGTTCCCAACATTTTTTAACCAGGGACCACTCTGCAACATTAGTAACAAAAGGGTTATGAATCAGTTTTTGGTCAACTGTAGATTCAATTTGGTTATTTGGGGGGCCGATTCAGAAAATTGCATTGGATGGACCACATAAGCTGCTGTTTCTGATACAAAACATATGCCATCCAGTTGTCACCATCTGCTCACCCGCAGAAAACCATATTTAATAAGCCCCGGCACTATAAGAGGGTTTTCAAGACCCGTCACTCTCGTTGCAATGGTGTAGTAACTGTGAGACCATATTTTAGTTCTTGTGGACCACTTTTTTAATCCATTGCACCACCGGGGACTCCAACAACTAGTTCATTGATAGGGTTGCAAAATAATTGGCAACAGCGAAAGGTTTCTGAACGCCATGCATTTACATAAACCTGTTAGCAACATTGTGCAGTTTTTACAGTGAATTTTGCAAAAATGCTTCAGCTGTACTTTATAAAATGGGAAATCAACTTGTTTAGCAAGTCTTGCAAATGCTGATTTATCAGTAAATGCTCTATTTGTATACCTATTTTATATACCTATATACCTGGAATCGTTTAAAGATTTCTCAGGCAGAAAGGGATTGCGAGTGGAAAACATTTAAATAGCCCTGGTCTAAGTTATAAGTGTTGTGTTCAATTCCAATTTTACTGTGACAGTTTCTTGATTCTGATTGTGTCAATCTCTAATTAACAGCAAAAGAATAAACCCAAAGAACCACCCAAAGTGCCAAAATCTGCACCATTCTTCATCCCCACGATTCCTGGTCTTGTACCAAGATATGCTTCTGTTGAACATGAAAATGATGGACAGCAGGTAAAAAAGGAAGCATGTTGAAAGTATGTTCAGCATGTAGAACTCCACTGAGACATTAGAAATATTTCTGCTGTTATTTTTTTGGTCGCAAGTGGATCCATTTTGTGTTTTTTCTGGTTTTCTGGTTTTTTCTTTGTTTTATAAGTTGTAATCTACATCCTTTCTCTTGTGAGTGGTCTTGCAACAACAACAACAACAAAAAGAACCATGGAAAGTATGTTCATCTTAGTAGCTGAAAGTCCTAATTATGACAGGGACAAAATGTGTCACTGTTTAGTATTGCCTTGTAATATGAGAATACAGTGTGTATAATAACAGATTTCAAAAATATTCAGTCTATAATACTTTTCTGATTTATTTTCTTTTCAGTCAAAAATAGTTAACCTTGGAGTATTGGCACAGAAATCTGAATTCCACATACAGCTTGAAGAAGCCCTGGTAAACAGCAACTGTAAGTTATAGCGTAAAATGTCAAATTTACTGCTTGATGTGAATTCTTACTCTTTGGCGTAGAAGAGAAAAAGAGTGGAGATGCGCACCATTAAAATAGATTATTTTTAAAAAAGGCTGAAACAAATAATCTTCCAACTAGATAATGTCGTATCTTATCCTAGTTCGTTAGGAAATGCAATTTCAGTACTGTATAATGTAAGTTCAGCCCTTGAACATCTAGCTTCTTTGGTAGAGGTTTAACCAAAGATATACCAGACAGATTATTTCCCTATTCTGTTCTATATATTTGACATTAAACATCACAAGTCCCCTTGGCCTTTAGCATTACTTTTTAGCTTTATTTTATTATGGCAATGTTTTCTACTCTTAAAAAAGGTAACAATCTGTGGTTCAGTTCGTTTATTTATTTATTTATTTATTTATTTACTTTGCTTATATACAGCTGTATCTCAAGCCCGAAGGCGACTCACAGCGGTTCACAAACAGTAAAAACAGTAGAAACAGCAGTGGTTCCATACAACATATAACAATTGACTTAACACATTATCCATAAATTACCAATAAGCAATTACAATGCACAATTATTACAAAACACAACCGTACCCAATCTTCTCATCATCCAAGCGTAGTCCAGGTTCGTCATCCATTATTCCATATTCTATTACCAGATTGCACTAAATTATCAAACGCCTGCACAAACATCCAGGTCTTCACCTTTTTGCGGAATACCATTAGAGATGGTGCTAGTCTAATGTCCGTAGGAAGGGCGTTCCACAGCCGAGGAGCCACCACCGAGAAGGCCCTATCTCTCGTCCCCGCCAGCCGAGCTTGAGAAGCAGGCGGGATCGAGAGCAGGGTCTCCCCGGAAGATCTCAAACTCCTGGTGGGTTCATAGGCAGAGATACGGTCAGATAGGTAGCTTGGGCCGGAACCGTTTAGGGCTTTAAAGGCCAACGCCAGCACTTTGAATTCAGCCCGGTAGCAGATCGGTAGCCAGTGGAGTTGGCGCAACAGGGGGGTTGTATGCTCCCTGCGCTCCGCTCCTGTTAAAATCATGGCTGCCGAGCGTTGGACTAGTTGGAGCTTTCGAGCTGTCTTCAAAGGCAACCCCACGTAGAGAGCGTTGCAGTAGTCTAAACGGGATGTAACCAGAGCGTGGACTACCGTGGCCAAGTCAGACTTCCCAAGGTACGGGCGCAGCTGGCGCACAAGCTTTAGCTGTGCAAATGCTCCCCTGGTCACCGCCGAAACCTGGGGTTCCAGGCTCAGCGATGAGTCCAGGGTTTATGTTCCATCTATGCCTTCTGTCTGTCTGGTTTTGTCTCCAATAATTATATATGGGTGTCTTCTGACATATATCAGTTGCAGTAAGGAAAAGAATAGTCAATCTATTCATTAATCTATGCATTTCTATTATAGGGGGTAGGCTTGTTACAAAACAATATACCATATATACTTGAGTATAGGCCGACCTGAATATAAGCCGAGGCATCCAATTTTACCACAAAAAACTGGGAAAACTCACTGACTTGAGTATAAGCCAAGGGTGGGAAATGCAGCAACTAGTGGTAAATTTCAAAATAAAAATAGATACCAATAAAATTACATTAAGTGAGGCATCAGTAGGTTAAATATTTTTTAATATTTCAAAGAAAAACAGTAAACTAGCTCTGTAAGTGGAAAAGAAGGGTCAACAAAAACAATATGGTATCAACAATAACTTAATAATAATAATATCAAGAAAACTTCATTTGTATCCTGCCCTATCTTCCCATGGAGACCCAGGCTGGCTTCCAACATAGTAACAGGCAAACATTCAATGCCTATATAAACAATGCATAGCTAGATATAGATATTTAATTATGTATACTAATTTCGCATTTCCCCTGAAACATTTGCAAATCTTCTCTCTTTATATGTGCATTTCCCCTGCAATATTTGCAAACCCTATTTATATCCATATCTATCTAGACATGCCTATATATATTTATTTGTGTATTTCCCCCCGTAATATTTGCAAGCCCTAAATATTTATATTCATATATATCTATCCTGATATCACTCTCAATATAGATTATTATATCTATTTAGGATTTGCAAAGACTTGCAAACATGGAAAAGAAAACACACTGTTAAGGGAGGTAAGAGGAGAGAGAAATGTATCCTACATTGCAAGCAATGGCCTCCAGACTCTGCTGCCTGGCCTTGACTCATTATAAGGCGAGGGAAGCTTTTTCAGCTCCAAAAAAGGGCTGAAAAACTAAATGTGGAAGCTGACATCCAATTCCACTAATTGGGCATTCTGGAGCTCACAACTGTTTGACATATTTAATCATTTCTTTAATTTCGTCATATATATTTTAATGCAACATTTAAGCTTTATAATTTTTATCTTTTAAATAGGGCTAAAAGGAAGACAGGCTGTTAAAATTTCCTGTAAATATTATTCAAAGGCATGAAATCTTAATTCATTGTGTGAGCGTGAGGCATCTGGACATTATTTATGTCAGATCTCTTGAATAGACCGAAAAACAAACAAGCCCCATAAGAAATCATTCCTGTAATACAGAGAACAGGAATGCATAAAATGTCCAGCATTAGAACTCTTTAAAGGACTGACAAAGTATAATAAATAGAGAGGTAGCACTCACAAGATCTCTCAGCAAAGCCAGGCTGTCTTCTGCAACTCTTTTCAATCATTCCAAAAAAACTGCTAAAAGGGACTGAGAAATCTTGAGAGCAGGTTTTCAATGTCATAAAAATCATAGCAGTAGTACAAAAGTTACACCAAGTTAGTCCTGAGATTCTTCTGGTTTTAGGTGTATTTAACATCACTGTTCTTTTATTCTTGGAGTTGTTATGTAGGAATTTTCTATTACACACACATTAATTTATAGATATTTGATCTTGTACTTATTCTGATCTGTTTATTATTCCGTTTGGAATCAATCCCAATTTAGGAAGGAATTGTGCCTGGGTGACAGAGTACTTATTTTGCATGCAGAAATCCCAGTTTTAATCTCTTGTACCTCAGAATAGGAGTGAATGTGGCTCCTGTCTGAAACCCTGATGGATCGGTATCATAAATCCAGTCTCTATAAATACCTCGTCCAAGATCAGTTACTTCCCTATATCAAAATAGATACATTTACCAATAAAAAGCACACTTTTTGATTGGCTGGGGAGAAGAGGTTGATTTGTATTCTTCAGAAAAAAATTAAAAAGTAATAATAGAAAACTATTTGGATCAGTTGAAATTGTTGGAGGTGTCTAAAAAGTAATTGGATCAGAGAGAAGACTAAATATTGACAAATAATATGCAGCTAATGAGTTTTACACATAGCATCTTTTTTACTATGTTTATGTTTTGTACGAAGTTTGATACCTCTGGTTTTCTCGGTCCATGATTTCATCTAGTGTTATGTTTGGAATAGCTTCCAATTACTGTCAAGAATATGACCTGCTTATATAGCTGGGTCTGCCTCCATTGTCCACTTTGTCTCATTAAAATAGGTTTCTTAAATGTGTAGATTTATGTTTGAATTTCTGTCCTATAAAAATTCAGTACTATTTCTTTAACAGTTATTTGGTTACCGCAGTATTTTCTCATAATTTGACTAATTTCTAAATAAAGCTGTTTAAACCATTAAAGAGAATCCTTGGTTAAGCTTCTGTTAAGGTTTTCTTTGATGCATTATGCATTGTGAATCTGAAACCCTCTGCATTGCCTCAGAAGGGAGGAATGCTTATTAAATTGACTGAATAAGTTCAAATTTTCCTCAGAGACACATTGAAGGAGGCTTTTCATGAGAATTTACTGATAGTTTATTATATTATATGAGTATGAGTGTATGTGTTTGTTGCAAATACCTTAAATCCATTGGATAGGGCAAGCCTATTGAATCCATTTGCTGGATGAAAAGTGGCATACCTTCTCTGTGAGCAACTGCATGGGACAATGTGATTACCCCATAGATTATTGGAGGACTATTCCCATTCATCACATCCCACCTTTTTTCTTTACTTTTATTTATTCAATAAGCCCACTGTTTTATTTTATTTTATTTATTTCAACACTCCACCTTACCCTTGTGACAAGATCCAAGGTAACTTACAAAACAAAACAATATTATATTAAAAGTTCTATTCTATCAAAAGTTTTCCAAGAATCAAAAGGCCTTGGAGCAGGAGCCAATGCTGGTCCTCCATCTGTTGGCTTGGGCCCTGCTCCTGTAGCTATGTAGATGGTTTTCTCAACAGGTAGATTGGTGGCAGAGGGAGGCCACAGCAAATAGATGGGGAGAGCAGCTACAGACCCTCTTCTATGGAGTGGTGGGGATGTCAGTGGTGCCTCTTCTGCCTGAAATGTTCCTATGTCCTTAAGGTAGCAACAAAGGGGATTTTGTAGGTTCTTTTTTCCTCCTGGACTATTGTAAGCTTAGAAAAGCCTTTTGTTTTTCAAACTGGAAGTCAACTTTCTGTTTGAAAAAAAAAAACTGTTTCTGTGCCAAAACCATCCTGCCTTCTCTCTCTCCCCCCCCCCCCCCCCCCCCCCCCCCCCCCGGCAAATCTGGGCATGTATTCTGTTTCAAATAACACAAAGATAAAAGTAGGTAAAGATTTCCATTGACATTAAGTCTGGTTGTGTCTGACTCTGGGGGGTGTTGCTCGTCTCAATTTCTAAGCCAAAGAGCCAGTGTTGTCCGTAGATACCTCCAAGGCCATGTGGCCAGCATGACTGCATGGAGCACGGTTACCTTCCTGCAGAAGCAGTACCTATTGATCTACTCACATTTGCATGTTTTTGAACTGCTAGGTTTCCAGAAGCTGGGCCTAATAGCCAGAGCTCACCCCCCTCCCTGGATTCGAACTGCTGACCTATCGGTCAGCAAGTTTAGCAGCTCAGCGGTTTAACCTACTGTGCCACTGGAGGGCACAATAACACAAAGAATAAATGTTTATCTCAAAAATTGAAGGGAGGATATTTTTGGAGGATTTAAAAGGCATTGTTTTGCACTTTCTCCAGTTCATGGACTTTCCACCCCCTTCATGTGATTGAAAGAGTAATTGCCCCGTCTTACTGTCTGTGACCTGATATCACCTTATGATGAGCACAGGTCTGAAGGGGCAGCTTGTTATACTCACAAAGCCTCCACCATGTTTCTGGGGCTTCATAGATTCCCCCTCATATGTTACCCCAGAGATTGGCCATGCAACCTTCCTTCCATTTAATAATGGAAATGGGGTAAAGGATGTAATCCACTGTTGTGTAACAAAATGCCCTTTCCTTCTGGCCCTACTACAGAGAATTCTCAGTCCACCAGTTCAGATGAAACAGTGAGATAGGCAGTAGAAATTATTTCATTGTGGATGAGGAACAGCACTGGACACAACCTTCACTTATGCGAAATGAATGAAGATGAAAGACTTGTAGTATTCAGAATAAATTAGTGCCCAACAGCTTAAGTTGTCAGGTAAATAGCCTTATAAATGGACAAAGAAGAGCTTCCTTTCTGGTCACATTACTTAATGGTTACTTTGTGGATTGCCCCAAGTATCTTGAAATGATTTTTTGGGAAAGCAAAACTAGTTTAGTGGTTAGAATTATTAAAATAAACACATACTCCTATTTAGGAACAAAGTTTGCCTCCTCACCATACTGACTGATTTCGTTGGTTTTTTTTTTTTTTTTTTTGGTGGGGGGCAGTCTATAGTTGCATTCCATAAAGAGATGGGGCAAAAACAGATGCTGCAGATTTCTACTTTACAGCCCTTTAAAACTAAATCAGCCATTAAAAAAAATCCAAATGTAAAAACCAATTTGGTAGTTGTGGTAGCAAACGCTGTAAAATGTATTTATTTTAAAAAGAAGACCAATTTTACACAGTTGAGAAGCAAGCCTGTCACTTCTTCAGGTTATATAATTCTGCAGAGCTGTTTTTGATTACTGGTTGGAAAATGTGAGTATTCATAATATGACCTATTGGCTACAGATGAGACTAAATCAAGGATGGGCTAACTTCAATTTTCCTTGCCTCAGAAATGAACTAAAACTCTTTAGATAGTCCTGTTTATTCATGTTCTCAAGTTTTTAAACCTTGGCTCTTAGTGCTACTGAGTAAAAAAAATAGTAAAGAAATAATGCCTGGAGTTTAACAGGCAAACAGCTTGGAAGTCAATGGATGTTGAATATAAATGTGTGGAGTGTTCTGAGGAAGCTGCCCCAAAATGTCCCAACTGCAGATAAAAATAAAAATGGGATCCTTGTAGTTGCACACTGTTGTTTTGCCCTCTTATAGCTGGGCATTTATTTATTTATCATATCAAAAGCAAATCAAGGGTACAGTTGTAATGTATTTAAAAAACACAAAGTTTTAAAATTTGTCGTTATATGTCCTTAGAACAGAAGCTGGCCACTTGGAGTGCCTCTGGTGTTGCTATAAGAAGGTCCTCCATTATGCATGTGGCAGGGCTCAGGTTGCATTGCAATAGGTGTACTGTGGTTTGCTGTTCTCCACACTCGCATGTCGTGGACTCCACTTTGCAACCCCATTTCTTAAGGTTGGCTCTGCCAAAGCGCAGTCTGTTCAGTGCCTTCCAAGTCGCCCAGTCCTCAGTGTGCCCAGGGGGGGTCTCTCATTCGGTATCAGCCACTAATTGAGGTGCTGGGTTTTAGACTGCCACTTTTGGACTCTTGCTTGCTGAGGTATTCCTGTGAGTATCTCTGTAGATCTTAGAAAGCTATTTCTTGATTGAAGACATACCTGGGCATGATGTTCATTAGAAAGTAAACAACAGAAATCCCAATGCAAAGAAGAAATTTCCACTTGACTTTTTTAGTTTTTTTCTCCTTCTTGCTTTTACAACATAGGCATCTTTAGTTTACTACTGGAGAGAAAGATTTTTATTTTATTTTATTTTTGCAGAAAAACATCAAAGAATACACTATAACACTATGTACTCGCCTTGTGAACAGATGCCTTAGTCTAAATATGAATATTGCAGGGTAGCGGGTTGTTTACCATGAGATAGTATCTTAACATTTCTAGAATGCTTTATAGAACTATAACTCTTATTTTGCTGTTTTGACAGATAATTCTCCTGTTAGTATTCTGAAAGGCTTGGGACCATCAAACATTGAGACGGAGCTGCGAGGTTTGGCGCCTGAAGGCGGTGGGTCCATTGAGGTGATGCAGAGCTTTCTGAGAATGATTGAGGCCATGCTGAACACCAAGTGCGACTTTGAATTGGCACAAGCCTACCTTGCATTGTTTCTTAAGGTAAATGCATGTTTCAGTGAGTTTGCCAGAAATATGGCTTGAAGCACAATTTGCTCTGCAGAGAACAATCTTCACTTCGTGCTTTGAAAATGGGCTCCTTGGAGAAGGAGGAAAAATGTTCGATAACATCCATTCTCTTTCTGATTGGATCTTGTTCTACCATTTTGGGAACTGTTTTCACCACTCAAACAGGAATTGCTTCCCTTAATAGCATTGCATCTTAGGAGTTATTGATCTAAGTTGATGCTCCCTGGCAGAGGTATATTAAGCACATACATTTTAGACCGATTAATTTGACAATTGACAGTGTTAAGGAGAATGTCAGATTTTATTAGCGTAGGCAGATATGTAGTTATATGACTAATGCACTGGTTAACTAAGAATTGGGTTTCTTGAAATTTGATCTCTATATTTTAACAATGATTTTTTTGTTTCCATTTCAGTTGCACTTTAAAATCCTCTCCTCAGAGCCAACTTTGCTGGCAGAAATATCAAGGCTGTCACCGCAGCTGGAAGAAACACGGATCCATTTACAGACTCTTTTCAACCAAAGCCTTTGCATTTTGAATTATATTAAAACAGCTGTGTTATAAAAGTATCTTTTGTTCTGTAAAAAAAACAAGACATTGAATTCCCAGTTTCTTAAAAAAATGTGTCTAATAATGGATGTTATACATCAGGTTTTATAAAGTAAGCTGTACAATATGACTTCAATATATTTTGTTTCCAAATCTAAGTATGACTGTGTTACCTTTACAAGTTTGTAATGATTGTTTTTGTCCTACATTAAGCCATATTTAATATGATGACACACACAACATCAAATAATAAATCTGGATTGTAATTTCTTAAAAACTGGTATCTGCTGAATGATCAGGGATGGAACCAGCGTGGTATTGTGAATAGAACATTGGAGTATGGCTCGAGACCAGGGTTCGAATCCTTGGCTCAGCCATGAAAACCATGGAGTGATCCTGGGCAAGACCCACACTCTCAGCCACACTCAAAGGCAAAAGTAAACCCCATCTGAACAAATTTCCAATTATGCCAAGTAATACAGTTACCATAAATTACAAACAGTTTGAAAGTACACAGCAGTATGCTGGGCAGATGCAGACCTGATCTGTCTTGAAAGACTGAAAGACAATAAAAATGGCATGTGCCAAAGATACAGATATCTGTATTATGAAGAAAGACTTCTTTGTAGGTTAAAGAGATAGGTGTAAGATTTAGTTGTTTTGCTTGCAATCAACACATTTATATGATAACTCTTTGCCCTTCTTTTAGGTCAGTGGTTCCCTACCTTTTTTTTTTATCAGGGATCACTTTGACCAGAGACCACTTGACCAGGAACCACTTTGACTAGGGACCACTTGACCAGTGACTACTTGACCAGGGAGCACTCTCCAACATTAATACCAAAAGGGTTACTAATCAGTTTTTGGTAATCTTTAGATTTGGTTTGGTTATTTGGGGTGCTGATTCAAAAAATTGCATTGTATAGACCACCTCAACTCTAGGTTCTGATACAGAGCATATGCCATCTGCTCACCCACAGAAAACCATATTTAATAAACCTAAGCAGTATAAGAGGGTTTTGTGAGACCATTCGCTCTCATTGCAACAGTATAGTAACGGTGTGGCCACAGACCATATTTTAGTTCTTGGGAATCACTGGTGGTCCATGGGCCACACGTTGGGAACCACTGTTTTAGGTAGACATGTATAGAACTTCTTTGTTAATGAGAAAATACCATTATCAGGTTTATTTCTTTTAACTAATCTAGGCATTGTCATACTTTCTAGCTGTCAATGTGAGCATTATGTTTGCATATAATGTAATTCAGGTTTATGTTTCTTTAAAAAATGCTAACTAGGAGCATCAACCACAGAAGGCTATCACTTTTCTTGCTATCACTTCTCTTGCCTGCTTCTCTTCAAAATCACTCTATCCCTCCTGAGGAGAGGAAACTTGTGCGCACATGCCAGGTTCCCTCAGGAGGGATAGAGAATGAGAGAGTGGCGTTGGCGTCGCACCTGGCGTTGGGGGCATTCCCAGGATAGAGAGGAGAATGACAGGTTCCTCTCAGGAGAGAGAGAAAGTGACTTTGGAGAGAAGCAGGCAGGGGGAGATAGCCATCAATCCAGCAGAGGCAGCAAGTGCAAGGGAAGAGAGCGAGCGCTCGGGCTAGTTAAGAAGCACAGGAACACACACACATGTGTGTTCTATCTCTCGCTTCTCTCTGAAGCTCCGCCCCTGCCAGGCTCAACATCACTCAAAATCTCTGGCCTAATTTATGCCAGTATCCTGTCCCTTCTTAAGAAAAGGGAGGGGGGAAAGGAGGAGGATGGTTGTGCGTTCTCTATCCACTCCTCTATAAGTTTGCCCAGGCCTTGAGGCTATATGGATTCTGTGAGTTAGTGTTTACTCTAAGTAAGCAGTAAAGAGAATAAAGGAAGATTATCTACTGACATCTAAAGGCGCATAGCTGCAACTTCAACGCAGGAAATATTTTTTATTATTTTGACCCAAAACAGGACGTGATGAGCACGGCTGGCTGTGGTGGGGCCTGGCTGCCGGTAGAGGGGAGACCACCTCTATGGAGATGAGAAGCTGCCTCAAAGCCCAGGAAAGGAGGCTTTGGGGCCTGAAGGGACTGGCAAGAGGGGTCGTCTAATAGGGCGAGTATATCCAAAAATTGAAATTTTTAATTTAAAAGTTGGGGGTTTGTCTTATCTGCCCAGTCACCTAGTACCCCGGAATATATTTAACATACACTGTCCAGAAGGAAAGTGGAAATATGTTTGGAACATTTTAGGATTCAATCTCAAGGCAAGAAGCTGATTTGCTGTGTTTTCTATGGAAAACAATAGCATTCTTACATTATGTTGTTGGAGCCTCATATCATATTTTGCCCATACAAAGAATTTAAGCTGTACTGTCAAACAGAGTGTCCCAGAACCCCTCATTATGACACAAATCACTCACAAGCCATGAACCAAGGTGTCTTCCTACGCTAGCAACATCCTCATGCAAAAACTTGTGTTTTAGGTAATGGACAGACTGCTACACTTAAGTATATAACGGGTTTTTATTTGTGCACACTCTAGAAAACTAGATATCCATGGAGTGAGTGATTTGTAGGATACAATTTTGATGAAGGCTCATGTTTCTTGCAATGACAAGTGTTTTACATTACAGATAACACACACAATAACAAGTAGTGGTTGATTTGCATGTCTGCAGACTGTAGTAGATTGATAGAAATAGCAAAAATATTATTAGTGCTAATGACTTCCAGAAGAAAGTAAACATCTGAAACGGATGAGCTTATACAGAGAACTTCACATAAGTTCTCTGCCATTGGTGAATTTGCTGTCCCTTAAAAAAAAGCTGTGCTTTCCTTTGTAAAGTAGGGGGGGGTGGAAGGAGAAGGCTCCCCCTTCCCTCGTAAGTAAAATTATATTTCCAAATCCACCCTTGTTGGAAGTAATTTTGTCCTGTTGGAAGCCTTCTATAAGCACAAATCCGCTTGTGAATAATGTATCTGGGGAGCATGTTCTTTTTGGAAGGGAAGAGGAAACTTAAAGAGAAAACACGTTTTACCCTTGCAGCAACAAAAGGGATGTGTGGTGCCCCCAGTGAATTTGCGGATGGGAAAAGTAGCTCAGAGCCCTCAAGAGGTTGCTCAGTCTGCGTCTCCTTTTGCCTTTCTGGGAGCTGATGATGAAGACAATTGATTCAGTACTCACTATTATGAAAGATAATTTCTAATTATGGGTTTTCCCCAATTTTTAATATGTTTATCTAGCATCCCATATATTTATGGGTGGATTACCTGTCTAAAAAAATTAGGGATGACAGCTTTAGAAAAAGCAATGATCAAATACTTTTTTTGCCAGTGATTTTGGTTCATTGTTCAATTATTAATGCTATACTTCATCAGAAGCAAAAGCACGGCCTTGTTTGTGCTATGTGGCTAATTTTAGTTAGAAGCTATTTTTTTGAAGAAAAATGCAAAATTTCATTGTAAGGATGAATGACTTGAAGAAATAGGATTTTAATTTGCCTTTCAATTATTTTCAGCTTCATAGTATTGTAAATAAAGACACAAATATTTTTATTTGGTGTGTGTAGATAAATAGATGATAGATAGCCCATTCGGTTGATCTGTCGATTGATCTTGGGGCAGCTTATAATAAAATCAAATAAAATAATTCGTAAATCAGGCTCAACCAGTACTGAAAATTTCTGATTGCTGCAGTCTTCCTTGACTAAGAAAAAAACCATAGGTTGACCAGCAACTTGAAGGCAAACATACATTACAACACTTTTGAACAATTCTCCAAACCAAATAAGATGTCTTCCTTTTTGCCTCTGGGAATTGAGGGCATGTATAATGGCGATTTCAAGCTATTTCATACCTTGTTCTAAAATTACTGTGTAATAAAATGCTATTTTAAATGATGTAGATAAAAACCACATAAAGAAGTAAAATATGCTTATTGAGGTCAAAGTATTATTATACCTTGGATGTGAAACTCCCTAAAGCGACTGCATCCCAAATGGGTTTTCTTCTCTTCTGTGATGGCTGCTTAGCAATGCTAACTAAGATCTTCCGGGGAGGCCCTGCTCTCGGTTCCGCCGGCGTCACAAGTGCGGCTGGCGGGCACGAGAGACAGGGCCTTCTCGGTGGTGGCCCCTCGGCTATGGAATGCGTTACCGGTGGACATCAGGCAGGCCCCTTCGTTACTGGTGTTTCGGAGGAGGGTGAAGACGTGGCTCTACGAGCAGGCTTTCGGCAACTAACTCAATAATGACGGCATCGGACAAGGAATGGAAAAAGGATCTTGAGATCGGAATCTGATTCTAAGTGTGGCGTTGATGATTATGTGTTTGTCTGTATTGTGTGTCTCATACATTGTTTAGTGTTGCTTTTTATTGTAAACCGCATTGAGTCGCCGCCTCAGGCTGATATATGCGGTATACAAATAGAGTAAATAAATAAATAAATAAATAACTCTTCTGTGCTCCCTTTGTCTTTTCCTCCCTTTTTTTGAAAAGATGCCTGACATTCTTCAATAAAGTGCAAAATTGAAAGGCATGGAAGTACGAATTCGAAATGGATGTCTTTAAGAGAACTCCCTCTGGACTCCCAAAGACACTTTTATGAAGTCTTTAGGGAGACTTTAAATGGATGTGGAAATTAAATTTCCATTATAAGCAAAGATGAAGGATGACTACTACAGTCCTCCCAGCACTGCAGGAGACAATGGGTATCTTGGTGACAAGATCTTTATCTGGGCTTCAAAAGAATCTTTTTGTGAATGTCATTATGGGACTTAATAGACAATTATGAGAGGGAAGGCATTCTCCAAACAGTGCTCTCTAAAATGAGAGAAATTTATGAATAGAGTGAGAATTCGTTTCCCTGGATATGACAGCAAGTGTCTTTGTTACAGTCCTGGAGTTATGTGCTGAAGTGCTTGTAGGTTGCATTCAGTACACAAGTAATTTGAAGTCGGCATCAGTGCCAACAAGTCATTGATCGACGTGTGCATTCCATACTTCAGTTTTTGTATCAGATAAATACAAAAGTGGGGTTGGCACAGAACTTGACATCCTTCCAACCTGCTTTGAATGAGGGGAAAAATTTGGAAGGTGTTATGGAACGAGCCTCCAGAAATTTCAGCCAGTTGGTCGAGAGACTGGATCTCCCCTCGCAAGTTGAGAAGATTATGCTATGGGATCCTGGGATTTGTAGTTTGGTTAGGCACTAGCACTCTGGCAAAAAAAGCTAAAGACCTTATGAAACTACAGCTCCCAGGATTCCATAGCATTGAGTTATGGCTGT